CCAAACTTTTCTCTTGGCCAGCAAGTGTTCTTACACAATCCTGCTGTGACAAAAGGTCTGTCGCCTAAACTTACCCAACCGTGGAAAGGTCCATACTACATCTCAGCCATTGGACCTAATCACACCTTCAAACTTCATAGATGTTCTGATAACATGGAACATAAATCAATGGTACATGCTAATCGGCTTAAACCAGTCATTTTGAGACTAAATGACGGGCCACAGCAACCACTATCGGACGCCCTAAGTCGGGCGGACTTATCAAATGCCTCAAACCAGTCAGGCACCAACCTCAACGAACCATCAACCACTGAGCCGGGCCGTGCACTCCCTACATCGGACGATACAGCACTGGACCCCACAGGCTCTGATATCAGCAGGTCAGCCTCAACACAGGGACCTCAACCAGCCAGTCAATCATTGCGAGATCAAGTGATCTCACGGCCAACAAATCATACACTGCAGTCATCACAACAAAACCTGTCATCTTCACAAACACACACACCATCTCATCGTCCTGTGCCAAGCACATCCTCACCCTCATCCTCATCACAACAGACACCGAGCCAGATGTACCCTGTCCAGAAGGTTATTCGGTGCAAACAGGTGGATGGTAAACGCCACTATTTAATCAAATGGCGCAACTACCCATCACCAACCTGGGAACCGGAGGAAAACCTTGGGCAAGGTTTGAAACAGGATTTTCATATCCGAAAAAACCAGTCAGGCAAAAAGCGTAAACGTAGGTCTAAGCATCTTTTTTTTCAATAAGAGTTTAATTCCATTGTCCCGTTACCATGTGTGTGAGAGCAATGCCAGTGAGGGTTGAGATGTCGGGTTGGCCAAGGTTACTTAATGATCCTGATCAAATCATTTCTTCACCTTTCATACCCTGATTTTTACACTACATTATTGTCATTTCTCTCATAGGTATGCAACTTGGGCAACTCTTTGTAGGGCTTCTGCTCTACATCACAGCAGTTTCTTCAACGAAGCCAATCCAGCGACTGAATTATGGAGTTGTTTTTCAGCCCCATCTTCCAGTACACTTTTCCACGGAAAACTGGTTACATACTTACCAGATTAACATTCCCCGGAAACCAACACTTCCACAGATGCAGGGATGTCATACTGGGAATGCAACCTGTGCACTGATCCGACAAATTCAGACACACCTAAATACTGTCAAGACCATGTGTGCGGCAAGACTTGAAGCAACAAAGAAGTTGGTGTATAGTATCATACCAAACTCCAAACAGCATGTAAGGTCTCGGTCAAAACGGGCACTTTTTAATTTTGTGGGTAGCTTTTCTAAGACTCTTTTTGGAACAGCTACCACCAATGATGTAAATATTTTAGCTAAACATATTAATGCCCTCGTTAGCCATGAAAATTTAGTCTCAAATAACCTCCAACAACATGCCAAACATTTATCATCTTATATGTCCTTAGTTGACTCACGCTTTCATAATGCCATGAAAGCAATCAAAACCAATCATGAGGCAATTCACTTTGCAACAATAACGCTGAACAGAGATGTCAATTCTTTAAAGTCCTCGTTTGTTGCCCTATCGGCATTACTGATGGATCAGGTAGAGCAGGCATCTGCCGTTGACCACCAACTAGAGGAACTAAAATTAGGCATCCTAAGTTTGGTCAATAATAGACTGTCTCCTCTCCTGATCTCAGAAGAAACTCTCCATCAGACTATCCTTCACCTTACCAAACTACTTTCTAGCAGTCGACCCAACTTTGTACTTCTGCAGAGAGATCCCTCCTTCTACTTCTCACAAGGTCAGTTTATATATACTCGGGCTGGTGATCGTCTTTATGTGTCTATCAAATTCCCAATTTCCTCTTTTGGCAAACCATTACACCTTTATAAAATGATTTCTCTTCCTGTACCTGTCAATGAGACATCTCTCCATTCTACTCAGCTCATATCTATCCCCTCATACTTTGCTGTCAGTGAAGATAATCAGCACTATGTTACTCTCTCAGACACCCAAGTGTCTACCTGTATCGGGCGTAGTATTCTTCACTGCCCATACAGGATATCGCTAACGCCTGTCACTGTTCCTTCTTGTGAGCTCGCGCTTTTTCAAAACAACAGAGCACAAGTAAAGCAACTGTGTGACTTTCGTTACGTAACCAAAACTCACCCTCCTACTCTACTTGAAATTGACCACTCTACAGTGTTAATCTATCGTATCCCTACCCTATCCCTGACCTGTCCTTCCGTACAACGTATGATTCCAGGGTGTTCCTTCTGCCTCCTGAAGTCTCCGTGCTCCTGTGCTTTGTCAACTGAATCTATCTTCTTCCCCGCATCCTTCAGCTCTTGCACAAACAGCACAACACACTTGACTCGTTTACACCCTGTCAATCTTGCCCTTCTTCAACATTTCTTTGATGACTCTACCCTTTCCGCTATTGCCGGAGATACTACCTTCAAAAGGGCTATCTCAATCACCAATATTCCTCAATTTCACCTCTACTCTCACAACTTTTCTCACTTTTTGGCACGAGATAACCAAGACCATCTCAGTCTTAAAAGAATGGTTGCCAGTGCCAAGAAAGATGAAACGGTCTTCCAAAATCTAGCTGAACCTTTATTAGATGGTGAAATTAATATTCCAAATTCGTGGCCTGACACCAATGCCTTTATTGTTATAGCCAGTACCATCATGTCGTCCTTTTCGGTAATATTAGTTATTTGGCTTTTCCTAAAATTACGTTCTTTAACAACTGCTCTTGCTCTCCTGACCAATGCCAAACCTATTCATTCTTTACAACCACCATCTTTTGACTACAAACAGCTCATGCCTACCACATCAAAACCTGACACCCTTTTTCTACCTGATCTAACAGAGTATCACGTTTCTATACTATTAGGAGTTCTATCCATTCTACTTTGTCTTATCATTTTCACTCTTATATTCAAACAGAAGAAATCCAATCAAAATTGCCTTGTCTTAGAAATCACCACCGGCCCGGACTGTATTACCATTCCTATAATTGCTCTTTCGCTATGTCCATCTTACTGGACCATCAACCCCCCTACTTATATTCACAATCTCAGAGTCACTGATTACTTCTTTCCTAGTCTTTCTCTGGAATGGCCCAACTTCTGCATCAAAAACAACCTTACGGACACCTTCCTTTACCTACCAAATGAAATTCGTTTAAATATTTTTACTGCCAAGAAACTGCGAAAAATGCTTAACCAACCTGTCAACACCTATATCCTGTTAATTCATGGAGGATATATTAAGGCTTTGGATGATGATACGATAAAACCAAATAAGGCGCTGTACCCAAATCTTACCATAACGTAGTATTACTTCCTACCACCCCAATGTCAACGTTGTCTTGAATAATTATTATCTGTATATCTATTCTTACCAATTGTGTCCATACTTTACCATATCTATTAAGACGTATCCTTGCCAATGTCCATTGTCACTTCTAAGGACACAGACGTATCCTAACATTCGTTTTGATGGACATAAGTGTAATGTCATCTATTGTTTTTGCATTGTATTACCATGTCTGTAGCACTTCTATTGTTTTTTGCATTGTATTACCATGTCTGTATCACTGTTTATCCTTATGTAATTATGTCAATTCGATTTTTTGCTTTTGAGGACAAAAGCTTCCTGTCGCAGAGGGGTATTGTCATAGCTTTCTTCTAACACCAAATTCCTATTAGAAAATATATATCAATCAACCTATATCGGTAAACTAATCTGACTATTCTTAAAGTAAATTCAGTATAGCGAATGCACTAACTGACCGCCGCATACAAGATATTTTATGTTTCACATATGCGGCTAAACTCACGGTCACTCCAGCTGTGAGACAGTGGCTCATTATGCAAGTCTGCCCAGCCAGACTGACACAAAGGGTCACTCTCTCTGAGAACCAGTGATTAGTGAGGTAACTTCACGTCACAGGGCCGGCACACATGGTCAGTCCGACAGTGATGTAAGGGTCAGTTAGGCAATACAACAACCTACTTGAATAAATCCGTAAATAATGACACACCCACCCATTGTACAGCCGATCAACCGCTGACACCTGGGATGTTGTGATCTTTAGTTATGTAACGTAATGAAGGCCTGAGTTGTATATATACGGCGGTCGGTGGTAGCAAACTTCACTCTGCTTCCACCAATAAACGCCAACAACTCAACAGCCTTCTCTGTCCTTCAAGGTAAGTCACTATTTACTTAACTGCTAACTTATTTTGTCAGCTACGATCTTAATACGTTAGGTATAGGTTAGATCTATTTCGACTATATCGTAGCGTTGTAAAAATTATCATTGACTAAATATCCAGACAATACTTCCTCTCGCGAACATATATTAGTATATTAGTATATAAGTATACTAGTTGCACGGCAACATCCCAATATGAGTATGTGTACCAATGTCAATAACTTGTACGTTCCTACATTCAGTGACACATACTCATAGCAATGATTTGCCTGCAACTTAGTAACATTGAAAACTGAGTCGGCCAACATGTAATTATATTGTCTCTTATAACAGAATATCCACGCGTGACTGTTTTTCTACTGTTTTCTACCAGACACATTTTCGCGTAATTAATGCCTTTTAATAACCATCCGTTAAACAAATATATTGTACATCTTTACAGTCATGTTATTACCGGTTGTATGCCGATTGTATTATTATGATCGTACGTGTTGTACACGTATTGAATTGTTATAATTACATGTATACAATTAGATGAATGTGACTCAACCTCTTATATATATTATCGTGCCATTACAATTAAATGTACTTCTGTGTAAACTTAACTCTGCTTCCACCAATAAACGCCAACAACTCAACAGCCTTCTCTGTCCTTCAAGGTGATCGCCAGTCGTGACCGCTGCTACCGACTAATTCCCCCAATTAAGTAGTACACCCAAAAGACAAGCTACGTCACCAAAAAGACGCCCTACGTCAGCTGAGCTGAACTGAAGCGAAGGCTCGTGTCTCGACATACTAATCGCCCCATCAGGAATAACCGTATACACATTACTGTATCATTACACGGTGGACACAAAGCACCAGCCGTCACATTGATCACGGCCGCCATTGAGGTATGTTATTTGTGTTATACTGTACCCAGATAACGTCTAAAGACTTTGGAAGCACAACAGGGGCCCAGTGACCCAGTTCCCAAAGTCAAGATGACACCTATCGCTACTCACTAAACTCTTCGTTTTGATACAGGGAAGTATTTCTGCCCCATTGTGCCACAGCATGTTTCATACTACGAGTTTTTTTTATATGAGGTCAGACATGTTTTTGTATGTTTTGTAAGCGAATCGAACCCATACTGCCTCTGTACATTTGCTTTTCAGCTTACGCTTAATCTAGATCCTGCTTACGGACTCTCTGTATAGTTTCTGTTCTACAAGGCTAAACGCACACCAACAAAAAACGCTGTCCTTTATGATCAATTATTGCAGTAGTAATGTGTCACGTGCGACGGGGATGAATAGAAATATTACATTGATATATGTTAGTTGGTTGTACCCTCTGTATGTGAATGAACATTCCATTTGATCACTGAAGGGCAAGAAGAACAGGGCCCACTTGCACAAAGCGATCTTAGCGCTAAGACTATCGTAAGCCTATGTTAAAGTATGGGAATTACGATCTTCTTAGCGCTAAGATCGCTTTGTGCAAGTGGGCCCAGGACAGACTGCCATGCGCTAGAGCAATGGTATGTATTAAGTAAACTACGGTTATAACGAACGGGACTACTAATTTTAGTTCGTTATAGCCGTTATAAGCATATATACAGCATAACAACAGCAACTAGTCGGGACCAGAAAGTAAGTTCGTTATATCCGTCAGTTCGCTATAAGCGTGTTCGTTATAACCGTAGTTTACTGTAGTACCTAGCGGGGTAACAGGTATTTCTCAATCAAAAATTGTTGCATAATTGCCAAGCGGAAATGGCGTTGTTTTATCGGAGCGTTTAACAGCGCAGTGCCGTGATTCACTGAACAACGCAGCACTTAAAACTTGTAGCTCCGTACGGGATGCAAAATAGTGGTGTGTTGTGTTTCATGACGACATATGAAACTTAACTAACATGAATGAAACAACACAAAAGAAGGTATTATGACTTTCCTCATTATTTGGTATTAAATGGCGTTCTGGTTAACTCGTTATGTGTTTTTGAAAACCCTCCTAAAGGAAAAAGCGTGTGTAGATTCTTTATCCGCCGTGTTCACATTGGAATATGTCTTAAATCCTATTTGCTCCCTCCCTTCCTCCCTCCCTCCATCCTACCCTAATTTACGCACTCAACCTTATTGACGTTATCGCTTTGAGGGAATATTAATGGCTTTATATGTGGATGAGACTACACTAAAGATACGCTGTTGCTATTTTTAGTGTCGGGCCTCATGAGTGAGATGGAATGTGATACCGGGGGGAATGGATCTGTTCCTGATACTGACCACACGGGGTCAGTGACCTATAGCCCATCGGAGGCTGAAGAGGAGGAGGGCAGGACTAGGCTGCAGGGTAAGTGCAGTGTCTTACGTCCACTAGGGCGGGGCCGCAGCATGGGTGCAGTGTCTGACGTCCACTAGGGCGGGGCTGCATGGTAGGTGCAATGTCTGACGTCTGCTGGGGTGAGGTCAGGCTGCAGAGTAGGTGTAGTGTCTGACGTCCACTTGGGTGAGGCTAGACAGCAGGGTAAGTGCAGTGTCTGACGTCCACTGGGGTGAGGTAAGGCTGCAGAGTAGGTGTAGTGTCTGACGTCCACTGGGGCGGGGCTGCACGGTAGGTGCAGTGTCTGACGTCCACTAAGGTGGGGTTAGGCTGCAGAGTAGTTGCAGTGTCTAACGTCTACTGGGGCGGGGCGGAGCTGCAGGATAGGTATAGTGTGTCTGACGTCCACTGGGGCGAGGCTGCAGGGTAGTTGCAGTGTGTCTGCCGATCACTAGGGCGGGGCAGAGCTGCAGGATAGATGCAGTGTGTCTGACGATCACTAGGGCGGGGCAGAGCTGCAGGATAGATGCAGTGTGTCTGACGTCCACTGGGGCGAGGCTGCAGGGTAGTTGCAGTGTGTCTGCCGATCACTAGGGCGGGGCAGAGCTGCAGGATAGATGCAGTGTGTCTGACGTCCACTAGGGCGGGGCGGAGCTGCAGGATAGATGCAGTGTGTCTGACGATCACTAGGGCGGGGCGGAGCTGCAGGATAGATGCAGTGTGTCTGACGTCCACTAGGGCGGGGCAGAGCTGCAGGATAGATGCAGTGTGTCTGACGTCCACTAGGGCGGGGCAGAGCTGCAGGATAGATGCAGTGTGTCTGACGTCCACTAGGGCGGGGCAGAGCTGCAGGATAGATGCAGTGTGTCTGACGATCACTAGGGCGAGGCGAGGCTGCAGGGTACGTGCAGTGTGTCTGACGTCCACTAGGGCGAGGCGAGGCTGCAGGGTACGTGCAGTGTCTAACGATCACTAGGGCGGGGCAGAGCTGCAGGATAGATGCAGTGTGTCTGACGTCCACTAGGGCGAGGCGAGGCTGCAGGGTACGTGCAGTGTCTGACGATCACTAGGGCGGGGCAGAGCTGCAGGATAGATGCAGTGTGTCTGACGTCCACTAGGGCGGGGCAGAGCTGCAGGATAGATGCAGTGTGTCTGACGATCACTAGGGCGGGGCGGAGCTGCAGGATAGATGCAGTGTGTCTGACGTCCACTAGGGCGAGGCGAGGCTGCAGGGTACGTGCAGTGTCTAACGATCACTAGGGCGGGGCGGAGCTGCAGGATAGATGCAGTGTGTCTGACGTCCACTAGGGCGGGGCAGAGCTGCAGGATAGATGCAGTGTGTCTGACGTCCACTAGGGCGGGGCAGAGCTGCAGGATAGATGCAGTGTGTCTGACGTCCACTAGGGCGGGGCAGAGCTGCAGGATAGATGCAGTGTGTCTGACGATCACTAGGGCGAGGCGAGGCTGCAGGGTACGTGCAGTGTGTCTGACGTCCACTAGGGCGAGGCGAGGCTGCAGGGTACGTGCAGTGTCTAACGATCACTAGGGCGGGGCAGAGCTGCAGGATAGATGCAGTGTGTCTGACGTCCACTAGGGCGAGGCGAGGCTGCAGGGTACGTGCAGTGTCTGACGATCACTAGGGCGGGGCAGAGCTGCAGGATAGATGCAGTGTGTCTGACGTCCACTAGGGCGGGGCAGAGCTGCAGGATAGATGCAGTGTGTCTGACGATCACTAGGGCGGGGCGGAGCTGCAGGATAGATGCAGTGTGTCTGACGTCCACTAGGGCGAGGCGAGGCTGCAGGGTACGTGCAGTGTCTAACGATCACTAGGGCGGGGCGGAGCTGCAGGATAGATGCAGTGTGTCTGACGTCCACTAGGGCGAGGCGAGGCTGCAGGGTACGTGCAGTGTCTAACGATCACTAGGGCGGGGCGGAGCTGCAGGATAGATGCAGTGTGTCTGACGTCCACTAGGGCGAGGCGAGGCTGCAGGGTACGTGCAGTGTCTAACGATCACTAGGGCGGGGCGGAGCTGCAGGATAGATGCAGTGTGTCTGACGATCACTAGGGCGGAGCTGCAGGATAGATGCAGTGTGTCTTACGTGCACTAGGGCGGGGCTAGGCTGTAGGGTAGGAACAGTGTGTCAATGGCGGCACGAAAAGCAATATATAGAAGCAAGTACTGAATAATAACGCATTCCTCGTGTTTAGCATCTGTTTCCTTGTCATACAGGATCTAGCGGCTGTTCGCAAAGATGGTTGTTGGCACTCATGGGGTGTTTCGGGGGAATCATGGTAGAATCCGGCAGGGCTGGTCTCAGCGTGGCTATTGTCTGCATGGTCAACGACACCGACAGCAACTACAGCGACCCAGCTAACAGTTCGTCCTTATCTACTGAGGTACTGGTACTTCAAGCACGGACACCTTGATTCTCGCGAAGTCGAAACGACTGTTTGGATCCACGCTCATTCATCCTAACTTACAGTTCTCTGTGAAAACATCTATCTGATATATGTAGTTGCTTTCTGTTTGAAATATTTATTTGATTCCAAGTCACTGTCGGTCCTCTATATAAACCCTCTAACAAGCCTCCCCTATCCCCAACCCCTGATATTTTGTTAATCATTTTAAAAGAAAAAAAGTATTAATAATAGATGTGCCACAATTAGTTTTATGTTGTATTTATATTAATATTTATTAATCGAGTGCATTGAAACTAAGGTTTAAATTCAAATTCTTTATTTCTGAACAAAATGTAATTTTAATAACTTTGCAAACTGTCAATTTTAGCATGATGAATTCTATTGGTCCAAGGCGGAACAGTCTGGAATGCTCAGCGCCTATTTCTATGGTTACATGGTAATACAAATCCCAGGGGGCTGGTTGGCTGGAAGACATGGCGGGAAAAACGTCATGTTTATCGGGATGCTGATTGGCTCGATCGCTTCTCTGCTTCTTCCAATCGGAGCCCGGACTTCGAAATATCTTGTGTATGTCCTACGTGGGCTTGTTGGCATTTCACAGGTAAACTTTCCGTTTATATTACGTGTGTCAAGTACATTTTATCTGTTATTTCATTAAAATTACATTAAATATATCGAAGTCGAAAGTGAAGCATGTGACAAGAGTGAGTTAGTGAGTGAGTGAGTGAGTGCGTGAGTGCGTGAGAGATTTAATTTACAATGTACATTATACAAATATAATGCTGGATGAATACAAGTTATTCAACCAGTAAAAAGGGTGTATTTGTAAGCCAAAACCTTGTCATCAACTCCATGTCACCAGATTCAGTTATTATATACCAGATTTTATTACATACCTTAGCATGGTTCGTAATGGGAAGGTGGCGACCTTTGCAGACGGTCCAACTAGAAACAGTTTGCGTCAGACCTTTCCAAAAGGATCTGGGATTAACCAATTTTAATATCTGAATAGTTTGTTCGCTGGTTCGTGGTTTATTAACGCCGCACCCAACACGATTCCAGCTATCTGACGGCGGCCTGTAAATATTCGAGTCTGGACCTGACAATCCAGTGATTGATCATATGAATCGGCAATTCACGACCTCGGGGTACGATGACACGCTATCAACGACATTAACTGAGCTTGACCACCCTATCCATTAAGTAGCCTTTTGCAAACACTGTAAAACATGTGTCTTGACCTTCAACACAAATCTAATCACGTTCTTGTCCCATAATTTTGACGCACTTTGGGTCCAAACATGTTAGTTTAGGATAGTGTTTAACAGCTAAACGTGAGTGGGAAAGACCTGCATTGCGTTTCCTATCTGTGTCCTACGGAGATTGTTGACGTCACAAATGTCAATTTCTGCAGTCACCATTATCTTAGCTTGGTTTGTCTGTTGGTTTTATTTTGTTGTTGTTTAACGCCGCACTAAGCAATATTCCAGCTATATGACGGCGGTCTGTAAATAATGCAATCTGGCCCAGATAATCCAGTGACTGACATCATGAGCATCGATCTTCGCAACTGGGATACGATGACACGCATCATCCACGTCAATAAGTCTGACCCGATCCCGTTAGACGCCTCTTACGACAAGCAAAGTAGCCTTTAACGGCAACCATGGGTTGCTGAAGATCGATTCTACCCCAGATTTTCACGGGTCTCTTAGCTTGGTATATTTGTCATTTTTATTAATAATACTGTACCAGGTTCGTTGTAAGCCGTTGTGGTATATGTGTTATTCTGTCGGTCTTCAAATTTATGACGACCTTACATTTCCATACTAATTCTGACATATTTTATGTAATTTAAAAACAATTATGACAATGTCTTTCTCACTTTCCCAAGGGCGTTTACTTATTCTCCATGCACACAATGTGGGGGAAGTGGGCGCCGCCATTAGAGAGGACAAAACTGTTAGCTGTTGCCTATGCAGGTAATATCTTAACAACAAAGAAGTCAATTACAGTATAAAGGTCATTGACCCACGTACATTAAGATTTATAATGTGTGTATAATGAGGAAAGGTTATCAACTGTATGAATTCGTTATACATTCAATCTCATCATCATCATCATCAGGCTTCGTGGTCTAGTGGTAGAGCGTCTGCCCGGAGAGCGGAAGTTCCGGGGTTCGATCCCCGACCGCGTCATACCAAAAGACGTTAAAAGATGGTACTTGTTGTTACCCTGTCTGGCGCTCGGCATTAAGGGGCTAAAACAAGGACTGGTCGGCTCGGAGTCAGTATACTGTGTCTGAGTGGGGTAACCAACATATCGTGAATATCCAAATCAAAAGACAAGTAGAAGCTCTCGCACATTAAGTGACCAACATTTCTTTGTAAGTAACATGCATCCTTGTTTAGAAGCCTGTCACGCAGGTCATCGGTATAACATAACTATTATGGTCGAGAGGGGACATCGCTTTATCGCGAGAAAGCGATAAGCAATAGCACAAGGCGAGAAAGCAATAACACGAGACGAGATACCGATAGAGCGAGAAAGCGATAGAACGAGAAAGCGCTAGAAAGAGAAAGCGATATTTCCCATAAATCCGTCTATCTGCGCATGATGTAGTTGAAAATGAGGCTCGGTCGCAAGAAAAATTCTACTTTTTATTACCTAGCATATGTCAGGAAAAATATATATGTTAAGTTTTGTTGTTGGCATTGGTGGTGGTTATGTTTCCTGGAGACAGTGTCTCGCTTAATAATGTACTACAATACCACAAAGTAAACGCAAAGACTCAAAGATGTATACAGTCTACATGCGTATATGCAAAGGAGATACTAATATGTATCCATGTGTTACAAACGTATCTACTACAAAAAGTTGCCAATCTCGCCCTATAAACCCTTTTTTATGTATTAATTTCTTTAAAAAGCTTATTATATATCTTAGTGTATTATCTCTATCTCCATCACACCTCCCACATGCATACATACATACATACATACATACCAACACACACACACACACACACACACACACACACACACACACACACACACACACACACACACACACACACACACACACACACACACACAAACACACACACACACATACGATAAAAGTATAAATAAAATATTAGAATGGCAGTAACATATGTTGTAGATACCTATAGTCATGCATTTCATATTGTTTGCAACGTACACGTCATGTTTATCATAAATCAAATATTCATTTCACAAATAATATTTACTGACAACATTATTATGACATTCACAGTGTAACAGTGAATTCTTTGCTCTCTATATATCTCAATACATCCCTGAATATTATATTGGGGCGGTATGGTAGCCTAGTGGTTAAAGCGTTCGCTCGTTCGACCCGGGTTCGATTCCCGACATGGGTACAATGTGTGAAGCCCATTTCTGGTGTCCCCCGCCGTGATATTGCTAAAATCGGCATAAAACCATACTCAGTCACTCACTCACCTGAATATTACCAATACATCAGGAAGACTATTTTCCAACAACTGCACTTAACACTATGTAAATATGTAAATTTACCACTATACTAATGCATGAGTTTATCTTATGTTAATTTAAACATGTAATTTATGTATGCAATGTTTTAAATTGTTCCATGTCATCTAATGTTAAATATACATAGTACTCTTTTACCACAGTTGGCGGTTTTGAACATTTAATGAAATCAGAATCTATCCCTTTCTCGTCTCGTGTTATCGCTTTCGCGTCTCGTGTTTTCGCTTTCTCGTGACCGTAATTGTAGTCGATAAAGCGATGTCACCCCTCGGCCACCATACATAACAGATTGAGTAAGTGAGTATGGTTTTACGCCGCTTTAAGCAACATTCCAGCGATATCACGGCGGGGGACACCAGAAATGGGCTTCACACATTGTACCCATGTCGAGAATCGAACCCGGGTCTTCGGCGTGACGATGGAACGCTTTAATCACTAGGCTACCCGACCGCCCCCATACATAACAGAACTATCTCCAGAAAATCGTAACCGACAAAGGTCCCCCTCAGCTCAAATTTTGAAAGTTATTCTTCTAAATTATACAATGAATAGTGAAAGTAACAAAGGACATACATGCTTACCCTGCCTAACACTGATTGCGCTGAAATATTCTGTTATGTACGTGAATACATTTCCTCATTATGACGAAACATAGTAGATTTCTATTCACAAAAATCAAAAGCTTTTGAAGGTCTACAACTAAACAATAGAACTTCCTGTTTCCTTTTGAGAAGTATTTCTGCACATCTTTGAAGGATGAATATGCTGTCGATTGTTGTGTAATCTGCACGTATGTAAGTCATCGTGTGAATGTGGGAATTTATCAAGAACATCACAAAAACACTGCATTCGCTTATTTGGTATAAATGTAAAAAATATCCCGAAAGATGAATTGTTTGATAGGCATTACTTAGAAGTTGACGGATAAGTTAGGGATAACAACTTCTTTAATACTGTAAAAAGTGACGTTTCGGTATAGATCCTTATACCGTTGTCAAGCAAGACTGAATGAGGAACATTGTACAGAATATATATAGTTGTTGAGGATTAACAGTAGAGAATAAACAGCAACAACAATTACGTGTAGCAATCGTGATAAGAAGAAAGACACCGGTGAAACTTGACGTGTTAAGTATTGTCATTATTTGGTACACATTGGAAACATTTCTTCTTAAGGTATCTTTTGGCGGTGAGTATACTCTATATCTTCCTTCGCCTTGTGTCTACATAACTGGCGTAGTGTTATTGTGATACTGTTCTTATGGTAGGGAACTTGTGTATGGAGTTTGATGACTAATTACTTACACAGGTCCTAAGATCGGGAGTATTGCAGTCTTCGCCATGTCTGGGTATCTGTGCAAGTACGGTTTCGACAATGGATGGGCGTCCATGTTCTATTTATCAGGTAACATCGGACCGTTCTTTCTTTTTGTTTATTTTTATGATTTGTTTGTTCTTTGTTTTTAAATTTTAATTGATTATACCAATCACAGAACATATTTCAGACAAGTGAAATGAATGTACCATGTAGATTCTCAAAACCTTAAAGAATGTGCTTACAGTTTTGTCATCTCAGAAAGAACCGAGTTTAATTATGTCATAACAATTTCAACTTCATACAGACCGCCTCCGTGGTCGAATGGTAGAGCGTCCGCCCGGAGAGCGGAAGGTCCGGCGTTCGGTCCCCAGCCGCGTCATACCAAAAGACGTTAAAAGATGGTTCTTGTTGTTACCCTGTCTGGCACTCGGCATTAAGGGGCTAAAACAAGGACTGGTCGGCTCGGAGTCAGTATACTGTGTCTGAGTAGGGTATTCATGTACTAGCACTATAAATCGGCATCAGTCCAGACTAGTTCAAGCAGCCACACACACACACATGTAGATCAATAATGGTCAAGTAGTCAATTCGTTTCCACTGATTTACCCACCTGGGCTACAAATAATATAAAAATACAATCTAAGCCCATCTTTGCATCGAGTTTGAGAATCAAAAAGCTATTCACAAGACTGTATGACAAGAGGGATGACTTCAACTTTTAGATAGTAAACATTCCCTTTTTGTCGAGCAATATTCCAGCAGCTCCAGCCATTGGGTGTCTACATTTTCACAACTGTTGAGGTACAATCGAACATGCTTTTGTGTGAATATTTCAAAGAGCGTCATATAACTTTTGCTCAAAAGCAGTTTATCAGGGTTACAACATTAAAGACATCAGTAAAACTATCAATACGTTTAAGGGTAGACAAGTGAAGGACGTTTCCTACTCTGACGCATCCAATGCAGTTCCCTATTTTGACTTATGTTCCCATGTTTTTTTCATGACAGTTGTCTTCGCATGTGTTTGTGGCGGGTGTAATCTTTAAGCGAACACCTAGTATCATCACTATTTGAAAGTGATTCATAAACACATGCTCATTATATCGTCGTAAAATGTACAATGGGTTGCTTTCAGCAGATATTTGTTATTCTTATGGAAAGTCATTTAGAAACATTTTAGAATATGCTTTGAGGGAAGGTGTGTTCGAATAAGATGTACAACTGTACAACGTCCACACGGGATACAGGAGACAGTAAGCAACATATTAATGGTCATAGTCTAAGTATACGTCTGAAAGCGCATAAACAACATTATTCAGTATATTTTATTGTATTCAAGGCCCCTTGCGATACTGACACTGGCTATAGTATGTACAAATATATCAGAAATAGAGAAATATCGATAACTGACACTGAATGACCAATCCTGGAAATAATTGTGCTCTTTACAAAACCTCATAAGACTTTCTACAACGAATGTATGGCTTACGCACATGAGATTAAATTAAAAGTACAATGATCTATATTTTGGGGGTAACATTTCAATAGAACATGGACTTCATCATCAATCATATTTGTATTACACAATAATCATATTCTATCTTCTTTGCAAACCACCGGTGAAGATCCGCGGTAGAATGGGTCTTCAGCAACCCATGCTTGTCGTAAAAGGCGACTATGCTTGTCGTAAGAGGCGACTAACGGAATCGGGTGGTCAGGCTCGCTGTCTTGGTTGATGAATGTCATCGTATCCCTATTGCATGGGTCATTGGATTGTCTGGTCCAGACTCGATTATTTACAGACCACCGTCATATAGCTGGAACATTGCTGAATGCGGCGTAAAACAACAAACAAACAGTAGTTTCGTAGTGCCGTAGGTGACTATTGAACTACGTGTTCAAATTTATGATGAATTATACAACAAGAATATTTTTTTTCAAGTCTAAAACCTCCACTGATTGTTGTCTTGTGTGATGATGAAGCAATAACCCCAGTCACGTATTCCCTACAGGTGGTATATCGGTGATATGGTGTGGGGTGTGGTACTACACGGTCGCCAGCACCCCGTCTCAACATCCTTGGATCTCTCAGCAGGAGAAGAACTACATCACAAGGAGTATTGGAGAGACCAAGGCGGTAAGCTATTTCTTTGTGTGACAGCGGGAATATTTTATGACTATCAACATCCCAGTCCATGCAAACAATCACACATCTCCTCCGCCACCGATAAGCGGCACCTGCATATGTCTTTTAGGCGTGCAAAACATCCATGATCGTGGGTTCGAACCCTAGATAATGGTTGTGTTTCTTGGTTTGTCAGCACCATACCTGTACTCACGGGATTCATTAACATGGTAAACGTGTGCGGCCTGCATCGAGTGGACACTTCTTGAAATAACTGAAGACCCGTGAAGATCCGGGGTAGAATAGGTCTTCAGCAACCAATACTTGCCGTAAAAGGCGACTATGCTTGTCGTAAAAGGCGACAAAAGGGATCGGGTGGTCAGGCTCGCTGACTTGGTTGATGCATGTCATCGATCCCAATTGCGTGGATCGATGCTCATGATATCAATCACTGGATTATAAGGTTCAGACTCGATTATTTACAGACCGCCGTCATATAGCTGGAATATTGCTGAGTGCGGCGTAAAACAACCAACCAACCAATGAAATCACTGAAATACTGTTTAAAGCGACTCAAAGCAAACTCAATGAAAAACAAAACTTTAGCATAGGGAAACTTCTTTTACATTATTTTATGTGCAACACCTCCTACAAATAAATCGACCTCCGGTACAATGACTCGAGACAAAAGTGTTTCAGATAATGTGAATCGACATATCAAGTGTCAAATCATACGATATAATGTCATGCACATGGTGACTGGTGTACCTGTGTCTCTCTGAGAAGGATGAACTTATACCCGTGAACATCCGGGTAAGGCTTTACCTTCAGCAACCCATGCTTGTCGTAAGAGGCGACTAAAGGACAGATCAGGCTCGGTGACTTAGTTGACGCATGACGCCTTGACCAGACAATCCAGTGATTGATATCAGGAGCATCGATCCACGCAATTGGGATACGATGACATGCATGAACCAAGTCAATGAGTCTGACCACCCGATCCCGTTAGTCGCATCCTACGACATGTTTTTATGGCATGCATGGGTTGATGAAGACCTATTTTACCCCGGATCGTCACGGGTCGACGCATTATGGTACAAATATTTTGATGCCAGAGCATGAAAAGCAGTTTGTGCATCAAAAACATTGGCATGTGAGTGAGTGAGTTTGGTTTAACGCCGCTTTTAACAGTATTCCAGTTATATCACGGCGTGTCAGCTTAATGTTGGAAGAAAGCCCGAAGTGATGCAGGTCTCAGACCCACGAGCACGGGTATGGTGCTGACAAACTAGAAACATAATCGGGGCGAACCGGGATTCGAACCCACAATCATAGGTTTCTGGTGTGCCCAAGGGACGCAACTCTGCACAGCGAATCGCGGCCCCTTAGACGACTGGGCCACCCGTGCCCCCTACATGGGCATGTACCAATAACATGTTTCAATACATACAAGGAGAACATGTCAAACATATGGCAAAATGTACTGACTGAGAGTATTATTGTTAATCAGAACGAACATCGTTTGGTGTGGCGTTAAACAACAAAGAAACAAACAAACAAAGGATGAGCTTGATATTACTGCTTTGTTTACAGAGTTACCCGACGCCATGGGGCGCCATGTTGATGTCTCCGGCCACGTGGGTGTGTGTCATCGGACACGTGTGTTTCAACTGGATAGCATACACATTAACCACAAACACTCCTCTGTTTCTTAAAGAAGTGATGAACTTTGATATAACTGAGGTACGTACAAGGCATATGAATGATCTGTGTTAACATTTAAATGATCAGAGGAAAAATCCACCTTCACTAGGGAGTAGTTGTCCCATAACAGTGTTATCGCTATGTCTGTTGAAACTCCTATCATTCATCAGAGTCTTACAATAGTAGTCCGCCTCACACCCCTTGAACTATATTAATTTCCCTTCCGCCAGCCTTCACTGTATAGTGGGGCGGTTAAGGCTAAGTCATTTTGGCGGCCATCTTGGATTTTCTTCGCCACCAGTGGGCGCTGCATATTAGATTTGAATTATATTCACCATTGTTGCGATTAAATTTACATAAATGACTAAAATTAACAAAATAATTATGATATATTGTATATAAATTGACATCAAAAGAGATTTTAACAATTTTGACGGCCATCTTGGATTTTCTATAACCAGGTGGCGCTGCTGAGGTGGATCCATATTCAGAAATGTTTAGAATGGTTCAATGTAAAAGTGTGCCAAGTTTTGTGCTTTTAACCCCAAGTGCACAATTGTGACTAAAACCCAGCATTAACCGCCCCACTAGTAATGCAGCAGCCGTATATGAAGCAAGTCAAGATTTTCCTCAGGTTGAGGACTGAATTTCCCATTTCAATGGGGCACCTTTTCAATTTAAATTGAATTGTTTGTTTCTATTAAAATATTTATTTTCAGAAACGTAAGTTAATTACAATATTTGCAGATCAGTTTTTAACGAGTTCATGTGAATAGGAATCCATGCGGTCAATCTAGTACCTCACAAGTCAGCGATGCGATTCATCACGTTACACTGTCCATTTAACAAATTACATACGTTTATCTCAAACAAAACGTCTTCTGCAAGTTTGAAACATTTAGATAAAGATATATCTGAAAAATGATGACTTTCACTAAAAATGTTTTAAAACATTGAAAACTTAACTGCCGACAAAAAGAAAGTGTACACCAATGTTTGATGTTGTCCTAAAATGAAGCAAACAAAAAATGTTTAATCGATGATGATGTATTTGATATATAGTTGTTTTTTTAACTTTTCTTGCAGTATTTCGGGACTGTTTTCAGCCTAGTAACGTTATCATAACGTTTGTTATTGGTTGTTCAAATCCAATTTGTAAATGTATACTTTCTTTTGCACGGCAGTTTATATCAATTTGCGTGTTTATCATCTGTTTACAACTACTGTATAGTTTAACATCTAATCCCTTGGAGAGCAGCAGGGTCACCTTCATGGTTAAAGATATAAACCTAAAGTCTTCAAGTGAGTGAGTGAGTATGGTTTTACGCCGCTTTCAGCAATATTCCAGCAATATCACGGCGGGGGACACCAGAAATAGGCTTCACACATTGTACCCATGTCGGTAATCGAACCCGGGTCTTCGGCGTGACGAGCGAACGCTTTAACCACTTGGCTACCCGACCGATCCTAAAGTTTTCAAAGTCGTGGTTGAAATATGATATCATTAATTCAATGTAACTTAAAATAATCTCTGTATCTGTGCATGGATTGCTTTCGTGTTACGAAAGGCCCATTTGTTCACAGACAAAGGAAACGTCCGGTCACGTGATTTGTATTGGAAGGATTTGTATTGGATTTTTCCGTGCGCTGAAGTGTCATCGTGACACTTGTTGGTGAATCGTCTTTGTTAGAAACATTGGAAATGGTGATAGGCATTCAACGGATTTCCTGTGGACCTGAGCCATAATAAAACTTCCTGTAGTGTCTGTACACGTCCATGGATCGCCTGGGCGTTGTGATATTTCAGACTATTAGACTTCTATGTAAACAGATTATTTTGGAATTTATCTTGGTGTGTTCATTTTTGACCTGACGGCTTTTCTCCTTGATAACCCGCAGTGTAATTCTTGTCAAGTTAAATAATAATTCTTGGGATTTCTGGGTAGTATACGTATTACCATGCGATCTGTAAATACCGTCTTCCTATTAAAATACAACTGCACTTTGTTTTTATCAGGTGACACGTTGGTGAAGAAAATAGCTGGTTGAGGTCACGACTGTATAGTGTTTGTGTGTCGTGTATTGTGTTGCAACCTTATCGGTATTGTGTCTTACGAAACCTAACGTTACAGCCTAAGTCGGTATAGAAAGGACAAGTTTAAAGTGGTTCCAGGTTTAGACACATTATCGGTTCCTGCGGAAACAGTCCACACGGGACATGGGCTTCTAATGTTGACGCAAAGCCCCCCTTTAAATATTTACCTTGGGGGTCTTAAGGTCTTGAAAACTAATGTGGAACATTCCTCAAACACGTTGTGAGTGTGTGTTAGCGACATCAGGAGCACGGGTGGCCCGGTCGATGTGACCTATGGTCATGGGTTCGAATCCCAGATGCACCCTGATTATGTTTCTAGGTTTGTCAGCACCATACCCGTGCTCGTGGGTCTCACCAATGCAGCAGGTTTTCCTCCCACGTCAAGCTGACACATCAGTATCTGTTATATCTGAGTGAACCAATGACATTATGCGCCTCCTTTCTTCCATTTATCAAGAACGGCCTTCTGTCTTCCATGACCTTTGCCAGCCAGGCCGTTTCCGCAGTGTTGACTGGTCAGTTGGCCGATTACTTCCGGTCAAAGAAATATCTCAGCACCACGGCAACTCGGAGGTTATTCCAAAGTATTGGTCAGTATCATTGACATTTCCGATGGGACTCCAGTTCAGAATGGAACTATTTAAGTATAAGTGTTCCACATCTTGTAATTGTGGGCAAGTGTAAAGTAAGAATGAACCGAACCGTTTTGGCGATTTTAAAGATTTTATTCTGCATTCAATGAAATTGAATCTCAGAAGAACCACCACGCGGAATTTCAGTGCAATTAGGTTGCAAGTGCCAGCTGACGTGGTTTGAGATTGTGATGTCAGGCTTTGTCACTTTGTCACTCGGTCACTTAGTACTACGACGGAGTAGGACGTCAATACAGACACGAATCACTGTTTTGCCTGGCCTACAGGCTACAGTATGAATATATATGACCATATTGAAAGCCAACAAACGACCGTTAAACCCATCCCAGTCACACCTTTGAATTCCAGCGTTTCTTGGAGCAGGTGTATGTCTGTTAGGGACAGGGTTCGTGGACGCCGAACACCGCTACGTCGCCATAGCTCTGCTGACAATAGCCATGTGGTTTATGGGGGTTTCAACGGCCGGGTACCTCGTCAACTTTGTCGATTTCGCTCCAAGGTAGGTCTGTCTGTTTTAACTCTTGAAACGTTGCACCAATTGGAAGTGTCACATTTGTAGCTCAGCTGGTATTTTGTGCAAAGGAAGTGTTATTGATGATATGCAATATTACCCGTTACAATCATTGATGCAGGTTAAGAAAACAGGGCTTACATGTCGCATATTTGTCAATATTAAAGTCCTTATTTTATCTTATGGTGGCAGTCCGTGTTTCTTTCAACATATCATTTTAAAGGCCAAAATTGAAAATAAAATAACGTTGGCCGAGATACTGCTGAAACATCTTAACAGAACATATGCTCATCAGGGCCAATGCATGTATTCCATGATTGCAAATGTTCAAACGGTTGTTAACCTACATATGGTACAGTTACAAATGCATGTATTCCATGGGTGCCAATGTTCAAACGGTTGTAAACCTACATATGGTACAGTTACCAATGCATGTATTCCATGGTTGCCAATGTTCAAACGGTTGTTCACCTACATATGGTACAGTTACCAATGCATGTATTCCATGGGTGCCAATGTTCAAACGGTTGTAAACCTACATATGGTACAGTTACCAATGCATGTATTCCATGGGTGCCAATGTTCAAACGGTTGTAAACCTACACATGGTACAGTTACCAATGCATGTATTCCATGGTTGCCAATGTTCAAACGGTTGTTCACCTACATATGGTACAGTTACCAATGCATGTATTCCATGGTTGCCAATGTTCAAACGGTTGTTAACCTACACGTGGTACAGTTACCAATGCATGTATTCCATGGTTGCCAATGTTCAAACGGTTGTTAACCTACACGTGGTACAGTTACCAATGCATGTATTCCATGGGTGCCAATGTTCAAACGGTTGTAAACCTACATATGGTACAGTTACCAATGCATGTATTCCATGGTTGCCAATGTTCAAACGGTTGTTAACCTACACGTGGTACAGTTACCAATGCATGTATTCCATGGGTGCCAATGTTCAAACGGTTGTAAACCTACATATGGTACAGTTACCAATGCATGTATTCCATGGTTGCCAATGTTCAAACGGTTATAAACCTACATATAGTACAGTTACCAATGCATGTATTCCATGGTTGCCAATGTTCAAACGGTTGTCAACCTACATATAGTACAGTTACCAATGCATGTATTCCATGGTTGCCCATGTTCAAACGGTTGTCAACCTACATATGGTACAGTTACCAATGCATGTATTCCATGGTTGCCAATGTTCAAACGGTTGTTAACCTACACGTGGTACAGTTACCAATGCATGTATTCCATGATTGCAAATGTTCAAACGGTTGTTCACCTACATATGGTACAGTTACCAATGCATGTATTCCATGGTTGCCAATGTTCAAACAGTTGTAAACCTACATATGGTACAGTTACCAATGCATGTATCCCATGGTTGCCAATGTTTAAACGGTTGATTACCTACATATGGTACAGTTACCAATGTGCACATTCAACTATTATTAATGGGATTTTCCACAGCTGTGAAGGTACATATGCCAAAGTTTCCTATGTACGTATTCTAGACACATCACATGGCTAGACTAATAATATAAACATTTATCTCTTCTGCAATGCAGTGGTATGTATCCCATGCTTGCCGTAAAAGGCGAGACCCGTAAGGATTCCGGGGTAGAATAGGTCTTCAGCAACCCATGCTTGTCGTAAAAGGCGACTAACGGGATCGGGTGGTCAGGCTCGTTGACTTGGTTCATGCATGTCATCGATCCCAATTGCGTGGGTCGATGCTCATGATATCAGTCACTGGATTGTCTGGTCCAGACTCGATTATTTACAGACCGCCGTCTTATAGCTGGAATATTGCTGAGTGCGGCGTTAAACACCAAACCAACCAACCAACGTAAAAGGCGACTATAGTGACGAAAGGCGACTAACGGGATCGGGTGGTCAGGCTCGCTGACTTGGTTAATGCATATTACCATATCCCAATTGCGTAGATCTATGATCATGGCCATTAACTGGATTGTCTCGTCCAGACACGATTATGTACAGACCACCGTCATAAAGGTGGAATATTGCAGAGTGCAGCGTTAAATAACAAACAATCAAAGTATGTACCAGTTGCTCTCAAGAGTGAGTGTGAGTTTTGTTTTATGCCGCTTTTAGCAATATTCCAGCAATATCACGGCGGGAGACACAACAAATGGGCTTCACAAATTGTACCCATGTCGGGAATCGACCACGGGTCCTCGGCGTGACGAGCGAACGCGGCTACCCGACCGCCTCTTTTCTCTCAAGAAGTAATAATTGCATTCATGTTTCAGACATGCTGGTATCCTCGTGGGTATTTCTAACACAATCGCCAGCTTACCAGGGATGGTAGCGCCGCTTCTGGCAGGTGCCCTCACACCTCATGTAAGTCCGAAATTCAGTTCAGCCATTCAGAAAAACAAGACTTAAAATCATGTCAGTACTATTATCGTAAAAACTGTATGTGATATTGTATAAAGTATATTATAAATCTCGCATCCAGGGGAAAAATTAAACTCATTCATCGACTGGGTCTTTCACCTGCATCTTCCCGAGGCAAGGGCGTTAACCTATACCACTGCCCTTATACTACTGCAACAGGCGACACAGTTTTCGGTGAACTCCCATGCATATGTCGAATCTAGAAAAATAATTCTCTCAACTCAATTAAACTTTATTAAGTAGCAGAGCGATGAGTCATCCCACATATCCTAACCTTGCCACTTTGCTGACGGGCTAACTTCCTTAGTCATTTGACTTGTCTTTTTTCTACCCTGAATATATACGTAGTCCTATTGCTACGATCCTGTAAGATATACGTAATCCTATTGCTACGATCATGTAACATATACGTAGTCCTATACTACGATCATGTAACATATACGTAGTCCTATTTCAAACGATCCTTTAACATACACGTAGTCCTATTGATGCCTTCCTGTAACAAATACGTAGTCCTATTGCAACGATCCTTTAACATATACGTAGTCCTATACTACGATCATGTAATATATACGTAGTCCTATACTTCGATCCTGTAACATATACGTCGTCCCATTGCTACGATCCTGTAACATATACGTAGTCTTATTGCTGCGATCCTGTAACAAATACGTAGTCCTATTGCTACGATCCTGTAAGATATACGTAGTCCTATTGCTGCGATCCTGTAACATATACGTCGTCCCATTGCTACGATCCTGTAACATATACGTAGTCCTATTGCTGCGATCCTGTATCATATACGTAGTCCTACTGCTACGATCCTGTATCATATACGTAGTCCTATTGCTACGATCCTGTCTCATATACGTAGTCCTATTGCTACGATCCTGTCTCATATACGTAGTCCTATTGCTACGATCCTGTATCATATACGTAGTCCTATTGCTACGATCCTGTCTCATATACGTAGTCCTATTGCTACGATCCTGTATCATATACGTAGTCCTATTGCTACGATCCTGTCTAATATACGTAGTCCTACTGCTACGATCCTGTAAGATATACGTAGTCCTATTGCTGCGATGCTGTAAGATATACGTAGTCCTATTGCTACGATCATGTAATAAATGCGTAGTCCTATTGCTACGATCATGTAACATATACGTCGTCCCATTGCTACGATCCTGTAACATATACGTAGTCCTATACTTCGATCCTGTAACATATACGTCGTCCCATTGCTACGACCCTGTAACATATACGTAGACCTTTACTACGATCATGTAACATATAAGTAGTCCTATACTACGATCATGTAACATATACGTAGTCCTATTTCAAACGATCCTTTAACATACACGTAGTCCTATTGATGCGATCCTGTAACAAATACGTAGTCCTATTGCAACGATCCTTTAACATATACGTAGTCCTATACTACGATCATGTAATATATACGTAGTCCTATACTTCGATCCTGTAACATATACGTCGTCCCATTGCTACGATCCTGTAACATATACGTAGTCTTATTGCTGCGATCCTGTAACAAATACGTAGTCCTATTGCTACGATCCTGTAAGATATACGTAGTCCTATTGCTGCGATCCTGTAACATATACGTCGTCCCATTGCTACGATCCTGTAACATATACGTAGTCCTATTGCTGCGATCCTGTCTCATATACGTAGTCCTATTGCTACGATCCTGTCTCATATACGTAGTCCTATTGCTACGATCCTGTATCATATACGTAGTCCTATTGCTACGATCCTGTCTCATATACGTAGTCCTATTGCTACGATCCTGTATCATATACGTAGTCCTATTGCTACGATCCTGTCTCATATACGTAGTCCTACTGCTACGATCCTGTAAGATATACGTAGTCCTATTGCTGCGATGCTGTAAGATATACGTAGTCCTATTGCTACGATCATGTAACATATGCGTTGTCCTATTGCTACGATCATGTAACATATGCGTTGTCCTATTGCTATGATCATGTAATATTTGCGTAGTCCTATTGCTACGATCATGTAATAAATGCGTAGTCCTATTGCTACGATCATGTAACATATGCGTTGTCCTATTGCTATGATCATGTAATATTTGCGTAGTCCTATTGCTACGATCATGTAACATATGCGTAGTCCTATTGCTACGATCATGTAACATATGCGTAGTCCTATTACTACGATCCTGTAAGATATACGTAGTCCTATTGCTGCGATGCTGTAAGATATACGTAGTCCTATTGCTACGATCATGTAATAAATGCGTAGTCCTATTGCTACGATCATGTAACATATGCGTTGTCCTATTGCTATGATCATGTAATATTTGCGTAGTCCTATTGCTACGATCATGTAACATATGCGTAGTCCCATTGCTACGATCATGTAACATATGCGTAGTCCTATTACTACGATCCTGTAAGATATACGTAGTCCTATTGCTACGATCATGTAATAAATGCGTAGTCCTATTGCTACGATCATGCAATAAATGCGTAGTCCTATTGCTACGATCATGTAAAATAAGCGTAGTCCTATTGCTACGATCATGTAAGATATACATAGTCCTATTGATATCATCAATTAACACAGATTTTGTCTTCTTGATACGTAGACGTAGTCCTGTTGCTACGATCGTTTTGTCAATGTGACCCATGGCTTGCCAGTCGTATCCAACAGATGAATGGCGCAGTGGTATGTTTCAGAGCATCTTTCACAACTCACTCTTCTCTCCCTAAACAGAAAAGCCAGGAGGAATGGCGGAACGTATTTTACGTGTGTGCGGGATTCTGCGTCCTGGGAATCGTGGTGTTCGGAACCCAGGCCCGGGGGGAGCTGCAGTACTGGGCCGTGGACCAGGTGGAGATGGAAGTTGTGGAGGAGCAACGGGTGTCGATGTTTGAAAAAGTCCCCGATTTCCAAGACGCCAGTTTGGACGCATTCAAATACGTCATTTCATCTGACAAGCAGACAAAGGTGCCTGATGACGTTTTGGGTAATAATACACCCGCCATTGCTCCAGACAAGGAAACGGATATCGTGGCCAACAGTGACACTTCCACTGTATGACAGGTGGTGATGGCAACTCATTCAACTTTTATACTCAGGATCATCAAGATGCGACATCCATATGCACGAAGCAATTGCACTGTGTCCTCCGCTGGAGATACAAAGTGGCGCTTCCCTCTCTCAAAGGAGGAGCAGCACAAACCTTTTCGTAAATGTTTATCATTATGCAAAAACTGAATTTTACATGCATAAGGTCAAGTAGTCTTTAAATATATTATTTATCTATAAGTCCAACATCTTCGGAAGATGACGTATCTGGGCCTCAGAGAATTATACCAATTGGTGTTTACTGCATGTTTGTTTGTTTGTTGTTTAACGCCGCACTCAGCAATATTCCAGCTATAAGACGGCGGTCTGTAAATGATCGACGATCCAGTGATTGATAGCATGAGCATGGGATACGATGACATGCATCAATGAAGTCAGCGAGCCTGACCACCCTATCCCGTTAGTCGACTCTAAAGCCAAGCCTGGGTTGTTGAAGACCAATTCTAACCCGGATATTCACGGGTCATTTACTTCATGTGACTTTGCAGACATAAAACAACACTTCTTTACCCTGGGTAAATATCTGCTCCCCGATCGCTTCATCCTGTTGTTGCCATGCAAAGTTGCATCCTCACGAACACCTATATAAGTGTCTTTCACCCTTTGGGGATTCAGGTTAGAATAGGCCCCAAGCAACCTTTGCTGGCCATGAGCGACCAAGTGGATCACAGTTGATCTTGTATCTGGTATCATGTAGTGTAAATCAATGTCTGTAATAGAAGATATCGTCGATATCGATCATCCCTTGGGACAAACTTATTTTTAACGTCCTGTACTTTTGGTGTGGCAGGTACCACATAGTACTGCACATCTGAACACTTGACACTTTATTGCAAACAGGACAACAATGGACATGTTTCTTAATGAAGGTACTACATGGTGAATTCAATATTAAAGTGGCAATCATAAGTGTTAATTGCTGCCTGGCATCTCCAGAACATGGACCAAACGAGAGTACTGATCTCTCGAGTTGGGATTTGTTGGCCCGTTGGTGCTATTGTGCATGTGAAGATGTAGCAGTGTCTGTAGTTAAGGGCGAGACTGTCGTACATTAAGTTCTTCATCGCTGGCTAGGCCATGCTCAACGTGCTTGACACCACAAATGTGGCAGTTGACGTTGTTAGTGTGTCCAAACAACAACAGGCTATCTGACTCTGAGACCTGCATTACGAAGGCGCTCCACACTGTCTCACTAGAATGAATGAATGATCTTTAGTTCCTCCAATAATTTCGGAGAGCCACATCAATTTGTAATCACAACATACTTACAAGGACATTGCGCAGAGAAATTGACAATACTGAATATTATACATGTCTTGGTCCTGGTATGAGACATACTGTCAACGACCCGTGAAGATCCGGGGTAGAATAGGTCTTCAGCAATCCATGCTTGCCGAAAAATGCGACTATGCTTGTCGTAAAAGGCGACTAACGGGATCGAGTGGTCAGGCTCGCTGAATTGGTTGATGCATGTCATCGATCCAAATTGCGTGGATCGATGCTCATGATATTAATCACTGGATTGTCTGGTCCAGGTTCGATTATTTAAAGACCGCCGTCATATAGCTGGAATATTGCTGAGTGCGGCGTTAAACAACAAACCAACCAACCAACCAACATACTGTCAACAGATAGATCATTGAGGTTATATCTCGTGATACGGAAGATATGAATTCAGCCCAGCTGTCAAGGTTCATATCCTCTACAATAGGGGCTATACCACCCAGTAATGCCACAAGTTATACTTCGTCATCTGTACAGTTCTCAATACACATATATTTTTCGAGGTTTAAAGTGTCAAATAGATGCTCATAGAGGGTGTTCCTTGCATCAGCTAAAGCTGAACAACAGAGCGGTTGGTGCGTTATTATGTCATCGCACTCGTCATCCCACATTAAGCACTGTCCAGGTGTTATTGGTAGTGTTCATAACTTCAGAAGTGCATGCATAGGCCTAGCTGGCATATTGTACAAAATACACATATTTCACAGTGCAAGCTTACTGTGAATTTTATTTAATCTGATTTATTCAGGGTGATTTTGCAGATATGTGTGCCAATGAGCAGTTTTAATGTTCTGATATTTTAGTCTGTACGGTTTTGTTCCACACATCATTAGATGGAAACTGGTTAGTTTTCATAAAGTGAACTGATGTGGTCAATAATTCATACTTCTTTGCTACATTGAGTAGATCATGTGTTACAGACTTGAACACACGTGAAATAGAACACCTTTTTAAGGGCATATCTGTTGTTGATTCTACACATCCCTCCAGAGAACATCAGCTTCATTTTGTCAATCACAGATGTCAAAGTCCACAATCCCAGTGTCTGAGTAATTGCAGCGGTCCGAGATCTTACATGAAAATTTTTTACATTAAGTTAAAAGTAGTGCTTGAGTTTTCAAATTCATGGTTTTCTGTCTTGGACACAGCTCACACGCGCAGAAGGCACATGGAATTATTACTCTATGCCAAATTTTCCCACAGCCGACTGGGTTCAGACCACCTGCTCTTAGTCCAATATCTTTCAGGGAATTCAGATTCTTTATCGGCTTGGCACTTGGTCTTTTTGGATTTTGAATGAGCATTGATAAAGGAACATGACTATATCGTGTATATGGTTTCCATAGCCTAAAAGAACATGGTTGGTTGATTTTCTTTTCACCTGTAAACACTAAGACACAAGCATATTGTTGGACAGTTTGTAAGGACATACACAGGCCAATATTTGTTGAGGTTATGAGAGTCGTGTCATCCTCGAGTAGGACCACTTGGGAGTGATCACGTCCAAGCAAAACACCTTGTTTCAAATGGTCAAGGCGTATTATAAGCTCGTTAATATTCACAAGGAACATCCACGCTGATAAGACGCGTCCTTGTCCTACACCTTGTCCGTTTGGGAACGGTCGACTTGTCTCGCCGGCATATCTGACACATGCAGTAGATTCGTGATACGACTGACGTATGATATGCCAGGCGTTCTCTTGCGCACCAAGGATGAATAGTTTCAGGAGTAGTCCGTTGTGCCAGATGCAAGCAAACACTTTCTCATTATCAAGAAACACAGTGTATACACTGGAAGAGATGACTTCTTTGAGTTTATAGGTAGCAATGTTTGCACCATGTTTTTGCCTGAAGCCACATTGTAATCTATGTGGGAAGTCGGTATCCATATATTAGATATACCTCTGAAATTCTCTCCAACAGGATCTCCTCGCGATCGAACAGTTATCATAACACGGCCCTCACTTATACCTCTGTAATTTCCAGGATCCGATCTGTCCTCATCGATCCATTAATGTATTGATATAATTGTCCCAGATCTCAACAGTGCAGGGGTATAGCAAGTACGTATCATCCTGTTAAACAGCTGAGTTAAGTGATTTAGGAGCAAATATCCAGCGAAATAGATATATTCATTGTGATTTGGTCCGGTCCTTTTTTTCAGTCGTTTTAGTTCGTATATTTCTATGTCCGTCTTAAATATAGGATCATCGTCTCGAATTTTGGTTTGGCTTGTTGTTTTACGCCGCACTCAGCAATATTCCAGCTATATAATAGCGATCTTTAAATAATCGAGTCTGGACCAGACAATCCAGTGATTGACATCATGCGCATCGCTCCTCGCAATGTGGGATCGATGACATGCATCAACCAAGTCAGCGAGCCTGACCACCCGATCCCGTTAGTCGCCTTTTACGACAAACATAGTCGCGTTTTATGGCAAACATGGGTTGCTGAAGGTCTATTCTACCCCGGATCTCCACGGCACTCATCGTCTAGAAGTTGCTCTTTTACCCAATAGTGGGGCGGTTAAGGCTGGATTTTTGTCAAAATTGTGCACTTAAAAATGCACTTAAAAAATGTGCACTTATATTCAATATATCATAATGATTTTGTCAATTTCAGTAATTTATGCAAATTTAATTGCAACAACGTTGTATATAATTCAAATCTAACATTATAACCCACTGGTTGCGAAGAAAATCCAAGATGGCCGCTAAAATGACTTAATCTTCAAAAAATGTCAAACGTTTGTCCACAATATCAGTATCATTTGTTCATTTCAGTCAAATTTGCCTTTAAAACAAATCCAAGTAATGCTTTACTGAATGTTTAAACTTTTGGTACTGAAATTCATTCATTTGAAGCAAGATCTGTATTCCATAAGGCAGATCTGGAGAATATATTAGACTGCATGAACTTGGTTTTAATTCTGTAACTGAGCACGATCTCGCCAGCAATTTTGAGAGATTACAATCAAGCGGAAGGTCATATTAGAATTTGTTAAAGATATTGGACCAGCACTGAAACGAAGATGTGATATGCCCACCAACATTCTCAAAAGATAGCATATATCATAATCCTTGCTGTACAACAGCAACAGTAGTTGATAGCCCCGGTAGGGTTACCACTCCTGGCTTCTGATTGGTCGGTTTCTGTGATGACGTCACTTCCGGTTTCTGTTTGGTCACGTGACCTCTGATGACGCAGGGCATTGTGGGTCATGCGCGCGCATCAAAGTTGGTGGCTTTTCCGTTTCCGGTGGCGCGCGCATCCAAGATGGCGGCATTTCCGTTTCCGGGAGGCGTGCGCACCTCCAAGAGTGCGGCACGTCCGTTTCCGAGGGGCCATGTCCCCATCCAAGATGGCGGGTCAAGCGGAGGGAGGCGGAGGCGGCGGCGGCGGCGGAGGGGAAGGGAGAGGGAGGTGGCGGCGGCGGCGGGGGAAGGGAGGGAGGCAGCGGCGGAGGAGGAGGAAGGAGGAGGAGGAGGAGGAGGTGGGATCTTTGTTTTGGTTCATCCACGTCGGCACTCGTGTATGTTAACATGCGTACTGTCATTCGTGTCTCCATGCAAACGTGATGTACTTCATGTCTCCATGCAAACGTGATGTACTTCATGTCTCCATGCAAACGTGATGTCATGCGTGTCTTCAAACACACGTTTATCCATATGATTATATTTATAAGGATAGACAGAGATCGATAGACATACGTGGTGTTTGACTCGTGTCTCCATGCAAACATGACGCCACTCGTGTACACAACCATACATACAAACATACATAGAGACGTGGTGTCGTGTGCCTCCAATAGGACTGGGGGGAGGGTGTGGGTTCTTTTGGATTGTTGTTGTTTGTGTTGGCAAAGCAAGCAGGGTAGGTGTCGATTAGTCTGAACTCCTATTGGAGTTAAGATCAATCAAGACACAAAGAGTCAGTTCAATTTAACCCTGTTTAATGATGACACCTTACACACTTCAACTTAGATACAGGGCAAACAATGCGAAACAATGCGAAAAAGTCGATGACAACCTTCGTTATCGTCATCACACAGGCATCCTGCTCAATGTTGCAATGAGTGCTGCTGTTGCTGCTGCTTCTGTTGGTGAGGGTGTTGCTGCTGCGGCTGCTACTGCCACTCTGTATAGTGCTGAGATGAGTTGTGGTGCTGCTGCTGCTGGTGAGGATGTTGTTGCTGCTGCGGCTGCTTCTGCTGCGTGGAGTGCATCTAAGAGTTCTGTTAGTGAGGGTGTTGCTACTGGTGCTTCAGTTGCTGTGGAGGTGGTGGCTGCCACTGCTGGTGCCACTGGTTTTGGTGTGTGTGCTGTTGATGAGGGTGCTGTGGTGGCTGCCACTGGTTTTGGTGTGGGTGCTGCTGCATCTGAGGTGTCCCTCGGTGATGGTGACGGTATTGGTTGTGGAGACGGTGGTGGTGGTGGTGACTGTGCTGAGGTTACTCCTTTTGCTACGGCGACGAGTGCTGCTGTTGCTGCTTCTACTGCTGCGGGTGTGGCGGCTGTGGCTGTGGCCGCCCAGGATAGTGCTGAGGCGATTTTTTCTGTTGATGCTGCTTCTCGGGGTGTCCCCTTCGATGCCCTCACACCTGCCGCACATTGCGCCATCTGTAGTGCATTGATGAATACTTTTAGAGAGGGTGTTGTTGCTGCGTCTGCATCTGCATCTTCCTTTGTGGTACCGTCTATTATTGGGTAACGTTCGAGTAATAAATAACTGAAACTGGTTTATAGGTTTTTCTATATAAGTAGTAGAAAGACATGCGTGAGTGAGTGAGTTTGGATTAATGGCGCTTTGAACAGTAGTTAAGTTATATCATGGTGTGACATTATAATGTGGGAGGGGGACACCAGAAATGGGGTTCACACATTGTACCTGTGTCAGCAATCGAACCCGGATCCGCGGCGTGACGAGCGGATGCTTTAACCACTAGGCTACCCGTTTGCCCCATAACTTGAGTGAAAGCACACACACGCTGATTCGAGATTCGAAATTCAGATGCTCGAAATTACATTTTCGATGTCAGTGATGAAATAATAATGACACGAAAATAAGTGATTTCTCAAATGAACAGATTTAATACAATACCATTCAACCTATAATGCTTCCGCCATGACCACACGTCATCTCGGCTCTCCATCCAGCATGTAGCTGCTTCCTCAACTGGCCGCGAAGTCCTTGTTGGGCAGCATGGCACACGATGTTGTGATTCTCCTGAGGATCATGCAGATGGTCGTACAGCTCCACTCCATGAAGCTGGTCCCACTGAGGCATGTAGTCGGGTTTGCTGAGGAACGTCACCCATTCAGTGTAGTGATACCTGTCCGTGGTGATCGTGTAGCCAATGGCTGGCTTGTGGTTATACCCTCGTGGGTACTGCGAGAAGGCTGCGGTCTTCCACGAGGGCAGATCTGGTGCTGCAGCAGAGGAACTAGACTCGTTCCTTCTGTGCAGGCGTGAGTTGAGGACGAGTCTACTTGACACGTAGATAGTTTTGGAAGACCTGCTGCTTCTACTAGAGTTGGGAACAGGTCAACAAATTCTGTCAGCTTTGTTGTGCTCATCCCATAGTCCGTCATCCCTGGGTCGTGGATCATAAGAGGCGAGTGGACGGCGATGTCAAAATTGGTGTGTTTGCACCATTCACCGTGTTCTCCCAACTGCCAGTCATGATCGCCGAAAAATGACACTATCGTGTTGTCAGCTAGACCTTCAGTGCATCTAGAACCTTCCCGAGTTCAAAGTCCATGAAGCTAACAGCGTTGTAGTAGGCTCTGCGTAGTTGTTAACTACCTGGTCAGGCAAGGTCGTGTTTGGGTTGCCGGATGCATTCAGTTGGGCTATGTCAGTGTAGTGCCTCAGTTCATTATATGATGCCCAAGCAATATGAGGCATGCCGTCAGGAGCTTGTGGGTTGGGTGGAAGATGGATGGAGTCTTCTGGGTAATAATCAAGAAAGCGAGCTGGGAATTGGAACAGCAAATGGGGCTTGTGGAACCCAACTGCTAGGAAGAAATTCTCGCCATTGTTTGCCTTTTGAGTGATGTCCTTAATGACTTGCACTGCGTGGTCGGCTATCATGATGTCCTGCAGGACATGCTGGCTGTCCAAAAGATTATCCGGTACTGCTTTCCAACTTGACCCGTCTCTAAGGTAATTATTTGCTTGATGGGCATCAAAATATTTCTCAGACCACGAGGAAGGATCATTTCCTCCTGAAGCCTTGCCCGGGTGGAATATTTTACCAACTCTAATGCTGTGGTAGCCGTGGTTCTTGAAGAACTGGGAATGGTCGTGAAGTTGCCGGCAGCGTGTCTAAAGTAGGTGTCAAGGTCATACACGTTGGTGGTGTCAGGACGGCGCCTAGTCAGCAGGGAGGTGCGGCTCGGGGAGCATAGAACCTGCTGGGCATATGCCCTCTTGAAGACCATGCTTTTACTGGCGAGGCCTGCTAGATTCGGGGCGTGAATTAGTGGATGGACTGGAGATGGAAAGTAGGGGCTATTGTACATGGGCAGCTCTGGACGCAGGTCATCGGCGCACAGATGAAGCAGACGACATATATTCCAAGCTCCATGTTTGCGTCTTTTCTGTCGTTGGACGCTTTAATTGTGTGACAATTTAAGATTACAACCCGTGTTTCAGTCAAACAAGACCATCTTAAAATCCTTGTCAAGATATAGGATTGTCTTGTGCCGAACACAAAAGTAGGACACGTGTCTGGATACGTACGAACTGATAACGTCTTCAGTGTTCCTGCAACATGTAGGTGGTACAAATGAACTCAGTTATAAGGTCAGTGAAGTTAGTTATTAAGTTAGGAGACTATTCAGAATATGTTTGATTCCTCAGATATTATCTTATTTGACTTACTTTGATGAGCTCAAACTAAAATATATTATTGTTTTGCAATGTTAATTGACTGATTGTTTTATATAGTTCGTTGATATGATCCCAACCAAGAAGTCATTTGAGTGAGTGAGTTTGGTTTAACGCCGCTTTTAACAGTATTCCAGTCATATCGCGGCGTGTCAGCTTAATGTGGGAGGAAAGCCTGAAGTGATGCAGGTCTTAGACGTTTACCACTTCGGTGAAACCCACGAGCACGGGTATGGTGCTGACAAACCTAGAAGAGAGAGAGAGTGAGAGCGAGAAGGGAGATATAAAAGGGTAGAAAGAGTGGAGAGCGTGAAAGAGCGCAAGAGAGAGCGAGATAAGTGAGATGGAGGGTGGAGAGGGAGAGAGAGCGAGAGGAGGAGAGAGAGAGAAATAGAGAGAAAGAGAGGGCGACAGAGGGGAGATAGAGAGTGGAGAGAGAGAAGGGAGAGAGACAGATGCTGTTACTGAAGGGAACTAAGTCATTTGAGAGAGAAAGAGAGAGAGAAGGGAGAGAGAGAGAGCGTGTGAAAGCGAGAAGAGAGCGATTTAATGGGAGAGAGTGGAGAGAGCGAGAGGAAAGAGAGCGGGAAAGAGAGAAAAGGGACATATAGAGGGTGGAGAGCGAGAGAGAGCGAGAGGAGAGAGAGAAAGAGAGAAGGAAGATAGAGAATGCAAATAGCGCGAGAGAGTGAGAGGAGAGAGAGCGAGGGAGAGAAGGGAGTTAGAGAATGGGGAGAGCGAGAGAGTGAGAGCGATAGAGAGAGAGTGAGTGAGTGAGTGAGTTAAAATTTTAAGTCACATTGGCAATATTTCAGCCATATCGTGACTAGCAATAGTTAATCATAATACATATATTGAAATTTATATAAAAACCTGCCAACGAAGGACAGTAAAATAACTAGACATATCACAGAAATATATTTTAAAACTAGTATGGAATCATAAAATTGATAGCACTAAATATAACATCACGGTATAAAAACAGGCTGTAGATCACCAGCAACTGAAGGTAGATCACCATACTAGGTACCATGGGGACTTACAGTACTTCAGCTTCCTGCATGGAACCCAGCAGGATTTACATCATCCCTTCAGGTGTTGGCGATGATTAACATACTTAGCCATATTAAAATAACATATATTCTACGATTAAAAACAATGGAAAGAACAAATCTACTTTGAATGACGTGGTCTTACATACCCTCTCCAGGGGACAATCATTTTACAATACTTCAACCCCCTTCGAGGATACAGCCACTAACAATCTCAGTTATTGCATTTATCCTGCCAATCATAAAAAATATATTATATACACAACATATTAATCAAAATTTATGGTACAATTCAATTTCTTTTAAAAAACCAATAACTAAATGAGAACTGATATTAAAAAGATCCTTAATAGATGAAACATTGAAATAAGTATCCCTTGTGATGGCAAAATCAATACAGTCAAGCAGGACATGCTTGACTGTGATTCTTTCATCACAAGGGATACAAAACGGAGGATCTTCACCTTGTAACAAATACTCATGTGTATATCTGGAATGGCCAATACGACATCGTCGAATAATGACCTCTTCAAATCTGGACTGACAACCCAAGTAGGTGTAACCGATATTTGGTTTAATTTCATGTAAGTTATTGATACCTACTTGGGTGTCCCACTTCTTTTGCATTAGATCACGGATGTAAGATCTAATCACGGGTTTATAATCAGTGTACGGGATCAGAAGTGGTGTCACAGATTTGTTGAGTGCTGCTTTTGCAGCAGCATCGGCCATTGTGTTACCAATAATTCCAACGTGGCTAGGTAACCAACAAAAGACGATGTCGTACTGGCCAGTCGCAAGATCGTTATGTAATTCTATAATTTCACGTAAAAGTGGATGTTCAGATGAAATATTTTTAATGGCCTGAAGACAGGAAAGGGAATCAGAAAATATGATGAACTGCTTATGTTTAGACTGAGTATTAATATATTTGAGTGCTGTTAAGATTGCCTGTGATTCTGCTGTAAAAATTGAACTGTCATTCGGTAATCTGGATGATATTGTTCTGGATCCAATAACAGTGGCGCTAGCAACCGCTTCACCGTCCTTGGATCCATCAGTAAATATGGACTTGGAAGTGTTGTAAGTGCTTCTTAATTGATTATATTCTTGCTGATACATTAGTAGGTTAGTGTCTGATTTCTTTAGTTTAGTTAAGGAAAGATCTACTTCTGGCTTTACAAGTTGCCACGGAGGAGACGACAGTATTTGAGTGGGAGAGATGATATTGAGGTCAATTTTTGCAGCAGTTATTTCAGGTTTTATTCTTATTCCAAGGGGTGGATTGAGGGATTGTTTCTGTTGATACAGATCCTCATACAGAGGATGGAAAACACAGTCATATGCTGGATTAGATTGATTGGAAAATAGTTTTGTGACGTATTGTAATGATAGTTTTATACGACGGTGTTTGAGAGATGGCTCATCAGCCTCCACGTACAGACTATTAATGGGTGATGTTCTGAATGCACCAAGGCAAAGCCGCAGTGCTTGATGATGTATTGTATCTAATAATTTTAAATTACTTTTACAGGCTCCACCATAGACGATGGAGCCATAATCCAGTTTGGAGCGGATAAGGGCTCTGTAGAGTTGGAGTAGGGTTTTCTGATCCCCTCCCCACTTTGAATTTGAAACGACTTTCAGAAGGTCAAGGGCCTTCAGGCATTTATTTTTCAAATATTTTATGTGTGGTAAAAAGGTCAGATGGTGGTCAAAAATAATGCCCAAGAACTTAGCTTCTTTTACAACGTTAATAGGAGTGCTATCCAAAACTAGTTCTGGGTCTTTATGTGATTTGTATTTTCTACAAAAATGTATACAATTCGTTTTTGATTTTTAAAATTTAAAACCATTTTCTAATGACCATTTATGGATTTTATTTAGACATAACTGTAATTGCCTTTCAATAGTATGCATATTTTTACCACGACATGAAATGTTAAAATCATCCACGAATAGAGATCCATCAATGGAATCATTTAAAACCTTAGATAAGCTGTTTATTTTAATACTGAACAATGTGACAGACAAAATACTGCCTTGTGGGACACCCTGATCCTGATTGTAATGATCAGACAGGGTGGAACCCACACGAACTTGAAATTGCCTGTCTGATAAAAATTTGGAGATAAATTGAGGCAAACGACCTCGCAACCCAAAATCATGTAAATCTTTTAAAATACCATGTTTCCATGTAGTGTCATATGCTTTTTCTAAATCGAAAAAGATAGACACTGCATGTTGTTTGTTTATGATGGCATTTTTAACAAAAGTTTCCAAACGAACTAAATGATCGATGGTACTTCTGTTTTTACGGAAACCACATTGTATATGTGTTAGTAGATTATTGGTTTCCAGGTACCAAACTAAGCGATTATTGATCATACGTTCCATAGTTTTGCAAACGCAGCTTGTCAATGAAATTGGTCGATAATTTGAAGGATCAGTATGATCACGACCAGGTTTAGGTATTGGAACAATAATAGCTTCACGCCACGAAGAAGGAAATTCACCTGAAGTCCAGATATCATCAAATATTGTTAAAAGGGTTTCTAGACATGATGGTGGTAAATGTTTGAGGAGTTGATAAGGTATATTATCCGATCCTGAAGCAGTATCATGAGCTTGCCCAAGAGCAGTATGGAGCTCATGCATGGAGAAGATTTCATTATAATCTTCCCCATTATCTGATTTGAAATTGATAGATTTCTTTTCTTGCTGCACTTGGTAGTATTGGAATTTAGGGACATAATTCGACGAGGAAGAATGTTTAGACAGAGTTTCGCCAAGTTTATTGGCAATATCTGAAGTATCTGTCAACAAGTCATCCCCATTTTTAAGATGGTGGATGCTAGTTTTCGAACCCTTACCTTTAATTCTTTTAATCATGTTCCATACCTTAGACAATGGAGTACGTGAATTTATTTTAGAGACATATTGTTGCCAAGATTGGCGTTTGTTTTGTTTAAATATGCGCCTGGCTTTAGCATTCATAATCTTGAATTTATTTAGATTATGCACCATTGGATGGCGGCGGAAATAATGCTCGGCCTTTTTCCTGGCCTTCCTAGCTTGTTTGCAAGCATCATTAAACCATGGTTTTCGTATGTGAGGAACCGCAGAGGACTTTGGAATACATTCATCAGCAATTTTTGTTAATTCATCAGAAAAACATTTGAGAGGATCAGGAACACCAATAAAAAGATTAGGTTTAAGTTTGTTTGTACAGAGAGTTTCATAGAAGGCCCAGTTAGCTCTATTAAAGTTCCATCTTGATGATGGAGGAACATCAGAAGGGGTCACAGGCTTTAAAATAGTAGGGAAATGGTCACTTCCACAGAGGTCATTGTGGACTGACCATTCAAATTCATTCAGTATTTCTGAATCTGCAATTGACAAATCCAGAGAAGAGTAAGTACCTGTTCCAGGATGTAGATAAGTGTTTGAACCATCATTATATATGCACAAATCGTTGTAAGAAATGAAATCTTCTATGGTCTTTCCTTTGTTACTTGTATGCGCACTGCCCCAAAGCGGGTTATGTCCATTGAAATCGCCAACAATAATACACGGCTTCGGGAGCTGGTCATACAGGGCCTGAAGGTCAGTCTGCGTCAGAGAAGACGATGGAGGGATGTAAACAGAGCAAAGGGTAAGAACAATGTGCATTGTTATACGGACAGCGACAGCTTGAAGTGGGGTATCAAGAGTTACAGGGCTGTGAATAACACCCTGCCTCACCAAGACAGAAGAACCTCCAGTTGCTTTTGCACCCGGAGGTGAATAGAAATGAAACGAATTATACTGTCTGATATCCATTTGATCCGTGGTTTTCAAGTAAGTCTCTTGGAGGCAAAATGCTGATGGTTTATGATCTTGTATTAATAATTGCAAATCATTAAAATTATTTCTTAGTCCTCTGCAATTCCACTGGATGATATTTGGAGAGCCACTCATGGTGGCTCAACTGGTGATCTGGAACGTGAGGGAGGACCACTCCCAGGTATGGAGTTGGAAGGAGTGACCTCCATCTCCAGAGGTTCAAACGAATTGTGAACCTCAACAGGGTTAGACGTATGAGAAGGCACCCCCAAGTGTTGGAGGGCCCTGGCTCTTTTCTTTAGCTGTTTTTTTTCCTTGTTTGTCAGGTGGGCAGTGCCCTCAACATTCTCAATTTGTTTCAGGGCATCAGGAGTGTCTGGTGCAGATGGTAGAACATCAGTTTGAGTCTCAGATGTTGATGTTCCTGGAAGAGCGATAATAGGATCAGGGATGATCTGTTGATCAGTAACCCACGAGATCGATGTCTGACACTGAACAGATGTTTTGGTTGGTGAGGGAGAGGAAGCTGCAGCTGAATAAGATTTAGCCAAAGGAGTTTGCGATGGAAGAGGTATTAACTTTTTAGCTTCATGATAAGAAATATTGTTGTTGCATTTGATTTTCAGGATTTTGGTTTCATATTCAAACTTTGGACAGAATTTGGAAGATGCCATATGCCCTCCGCTGCAGTTAACACAATTTATGGTGTTTGTGCATTCGGAGCTGTCATGAGCTCCACCACAACGGAAGCATGCTGCATTGTTACGACAATACTTGGCACCATGTCCAAATTGCTGGCATTTGAAACAACGGAGTGGGTTAGGTACATAGACCTCCACTCCGATGTTGAAGTATCCGGCTTTAATGGAAGTGGGAAGGACTGATAGAGAAAAGGTGAAAAGGTAAGTATTCGTTTGTGTGATTGTTCCATCTTGCTTTTTCCTCGTAAAACGTTTAACATCAGTTACTCCTTGGCTTTTCAGCTCAATAGCAATTTCCTCTTCGCTCATGTCAGCCAGACAACGAGCGCGGTCCCTGATGATGCCTTTTTTGGAATTCAGAGTCTTGTGCACTGAGACAACAACCTCAGTGTTAACAAACTGTTGTAAGGACAACAGATTAACAGATTGTTGTCTCCGTGCACATTCAACTAACAGCGAACCTGAACGAAGGCGTGTGACATTTTGAACTTCTCCGCATGCACCTTTGATACCAAGGGAGATAGCAAAAGGATTGAGTCGCAATGGATTACCGTCTGCAGAAGCAATGACGATGAACCTTGGCCAAGAATCTTCAGAAATATCAGGAGATATGTTTAATTCTTCATCAGAATGAGTAGAATCTACATGTCTACGTTTGTTGTTTTTGGCTGAACCAGATTGATTGTTGTGAGACATGGTAAAAGGAATAGTATTCAGCACCCCTGTTCCCCACCCACCATCGAGTGACAACAAGGACGGTGTTCCAGTGGAAGCCAGCCTGCAACACCAGGGCTACAGGGGTGTTATACTCCAGCAAATATAAACTTGAATAGCTATGAGAACTAAAAGAATAAGTGCCAGGCTGGTTCGGCCCATGACACCTCTCTCAAGAAGCACAGAATTCAGAGGTCCATATCACCAGATTGGCCCATGAGCCACCGCCTTCTGGCATAGGACTCTAGGCAAAATACAGATATACATAAATAGGGTATCATATAACGTGATTTCAAACTGTTTGATATAATATTTCGACTTCCAATTAATCCAAGCACAGGGCATGGCATGACCAGCCGATTGATAGAATCGGGCCAATTCTACCACCCGTCTAGGCGAAGTGAGGGTCGAAGTGGTGTGTTGGGCAAAAGGAACACCGGTTCCTGGCTCCAGTGCCCTCAACCACCAGAATCCCGTCCTCCGCCGACACAGGGGCGCAACCCACGGCAAACAGGTTGCCCAATTTGGTCGCCTTTTACGACCAGCAAAGGGGTGCTGTGGAAATATTCTACCCCGGTTCCACACGGGGGAAGAGCTATTAGCGTTACCCAGCACTCACCACGAGGAGGTTGCTCTTCACGAGTGCCCGATAGAGAGAGAAGGGGAGATAGAGTGGCGAGAGTGAGAGAGTGGAGAGAGCGAGAGAGAGTGAGTGTGTGTGTGGAGAGAGAGAAAAGGGAGATAGAGGGTGGAGAGCGAGAGAGGGTGAGAGGTGAGAGAGAGAGAGAAAGAGAGAGAAGGGAGATAGATAATTGAAATAGCCAGTGTGAGTGAGAGGAGAGAAAGCGAGAGAGAGAAGGGAGTTAGAGAATGGGGAGAGCGAGAGAGGGCGATAGAGAGAGAAGGGGAGATAGAGTGGGGAGAGCGAGAAAGAGAGAAGGAGAGAGCGAGAAAGAGAGAAGGAGATGGGGAGATAGAGAGAGAGAACTAACACGACGATGGACCGTTGGGCCTCCCAAGGCCAACATTCACCATTCAATTTGGCAATAACATTAACAACAATAGCCATGTGTATATGTGTATGAAAGTGAGATATAACGTTCAGTGCTCCAGATCACAGGACCAACTGTGTCCTCGGGAGGAGAGAAAGTAAGTCTGAACGAGGGATGGAGACAGAGCAGACAAAGGAGAGATGCACGTACTAGAAACAACGGTGGATAGCCTATGTGCATATGTTGTTTGCACAAAGCATGATTAAGTGAGCTTGGGAAAGTCCGTCGGTCTTTGTTCGATATAATAATTGTTGGAATTTATTTTAATATCATTCGTAATTGTGTAGTATATATACCCTTGATATTTGGACACATACTTATCTAATGCATGAATTTCAAAATTTTAAAATGTATCAACCATGTTTCTTTGAACAAGAACATTCGCATAATTAAAACCCTTGTTAAGTTAGAAGGAAGTCCGTAGTTTCAATACCTATTTCAATTAAAAGAAATGCATTGGAAATACGATGTGATAAAATATTTATTGGGGTCTCAACTTTGAATTAATGATTCGAAATGTCTGAAATTCGGTCATAGTATTCATGACAATGTGCATACGACTTGTGCATAGGACAATAAACGATGATCATATGTTTCAAAGGTGTAGTTTAGGATGAATTTCACGCCCAAAGTAAGTTTTATCAGAAGCATACATAAATGTCATCGCATGCTTTTTCAATTGTATTTGCGGTTATTTCAATGTGTTCAATGGCTTTTGGTCCTGTGTCAGGCATACCATCTGCATAGCACATCGACCATGTGCTGATTATCCTCACTATAATTTTTAAAGAGCACTTATAGCAAAGCGTATCGGAAAATAAGCTTCAAGACGGTTAATTTTCTAAATTTCGACTAGTCAGTAGATTCGTACATTTCAAGTTGAAAGAAATAAAATAATATCTGCATTTTTACCAAACGGTGCACTGTAAAGGTGTCTTCATAGAGTTTGGTTACATTTCGTTGCCATGATATCAAACACCTATGTGGTTTGAGTTTTGCGTCTTTTCTTAATAGGGGCGGTCGGGTAGCTTAGTGGTACAGGTTCTACTACACTAAATCAGAACTGGTTGTGACAGTGCGGTTTTCGTAGGGAGCCTTCAGTACAGATCAAGAGACATATGCAGGCTGTGATTGGATGTTATTGTGTAAGATTTTTATGTCTTTTAAATGCACATCCATCCAGTAATTAAAACTGCCCATATTTTTCAATATTTGGTGCTGACTTTTTGAACAAGATGACTTGTGCTTTATGTGAGCACAGATATTTTCAAGCAGGTGATATTTGGTGCGGAACTGGGGTTGGTGTGTTCAGCTTCCTGTACTCGGAAAAGGTGTTTTTATTGCAGCTTTAAGGCCAGACTGTGCACATATGTAAACGTAATGGCTGTTGAATGCCTAGTTATTTTTTAAAAAAGCTATAACGTTACTATAGAAGTCTATGGGAAAACATTTGGTTGTGTGTAACCTAAAACCGTTCGCTCGTCACGCCGAAGACCCGGGTTCGATTCCCGACATGGGTACAATGTGTGAAGCCCATTTCTGGTGTCCCCCGCCGTGATATTGCTGGAATATTGCTAAAAGCGGCGTAAAACCGTACTCACTCACTTTTCTTAATATCTTTGAACGAAATCGTACAACATCTTACAATTATTTGCCTCTGTTATGTTACCATGGTAACCTTTTCGGTTGAGTCTCGATATATATTGTACCTAAATACCACATGTGAACGAAATCTCTAAGGTTTCCATGCCATGAACTAACGATAAGGAGACAGGTGCGTGTTCCCAGACATTTGTACAATTTTGTTCATGTCAAAGTCTGAATTCTTTCAGCCAATCTTAAGATGACCTCAATGTCTGGAAAGCCGATGTCTTTCTTACTGGCATCGACTGCCATTCAGGCTTAGAGGAATGTGTCTCTTTTGGTGTCAGATATCCCTCCGATGCGTTCACCCAACATTGACGTCCTTGCTCGGAGATGTAGGCTGTGAAAGCTGGACCGTGTTTAGGGTCAAAGGATGTATTTGATATTTTTTCAAACATGGACATAACACACATACCAACTGATAAGAATTGGCTGCAATGTTCAAGGCCAAGAAGATAATAATTTTCCGTTGTCATCACCATAAGCCAATAAGGGTACCGTGTACATAAGTCATATACCAACTGATAAGACACTGCTGCGACGTTCACAGGCTGGAAGATACATAAATCCCTTCTTGTCAGATGGAACCCAGTGTAATTTAAGACGTTATGATGTTGAGGGTGACTCTTCTGCTGATGGCGGTGACTGCCGCCCGGGCACGCATGAATGTGCTGTTTTTGGTGTCAGATGACATGAGACCTGAACTCTCCATTTTTAAAGGAAAAGACTTTCCGAGTCCTGTCCATCCTCCGATGCATTCACCCAACCTTGACGCCCTGGCTCGTAGGAGTCTTCTGTTAAAGAGAGCCCATGTTCAGCAGGCTGTGTGTTCCCCGAGCAGATCATCTCTCCTTACAGGACGAAGACCGGATACTACCCATGTGTATGATTTGCAAGCTTACTGGAGAGTTGTAGGAGGTAACTTCACCACCATCCCTCAGTACTTTAAGGAGAACGGCTACAGAACCATTGGTTCCGGTAAGATATTTCACCCCGGACATGCCTCCAATTACAACGACCCCATATCCTGGACAGACCCATATTTTGAAGCAGGGGGACCAGCAAACGATTTTGTATACAAGGAACATGTGAGCTGGATGAATGTGCCGATGGATCTTCTGAAAAACAACTCCCTTCAGGATACCCAGAATGCTGACTTTGCAATAAAAATGATCAGAGAGGCTGCCCCTCAAGCTAGATCTGGAGAACGTCCTTTCTTCATTGCACAAGGTTTCCACAAACCTCATCTTCCCTTTGTGGCACCACAGAGGTTCTTTGACATGTACCCAGAGTCGTCTATCAGTCTCCCAGCCAACCCATACGCTCCTGATAAGATGCCAGAAATTGCATGGTCTAATTACAATATGACAGAGCTTGGAAGATACGTTGACATTGCAAAATTAAATGCTTCAGGAGACATTAACTCCACACTCCCTAACGATGTTATCCTTAGTTTGAGGAGAGCCTACTACAGCGCCCTCAGCTACACCGACTACGAGCTGGGACGAGTGGTCAAGGAGCTGGAGAAGCAAGGCCTGGCCAACAACACAATCATCTCCTTCTGGGGCGATCACGGCTGGCAGCTTGGTGAACACGGCGAGTGGTGCAAACATACAGACTTTGAAATCGCCACCCACGCCCCTATGATGGTACATGTCCCGGGTCTCACTGAGAACGGTATCATGACGGAAGAACTCACCGAGTTTGTGGATCTGTTTCCAACTCTAGTCGAAGCTGCAGGTCTTCCTGCTCTTGACCTGTGTCCAGAAAACTCTACCAACGTCCTTCTTTGCACCGAAGGTAATAGTTTGATACCTCTAATAACAAACCCAGCAAGTCCCAACTGGAAGAAGGCCGTGTTCTCCCAGTACCCTAGGAATGAAAGCAACGGTGATCAAATGGGCTACAGCATGACCACAGCATGACCACCGATCACTACAGGTCAAATTCAACCCACAACCCTTGTACAGGCCAGACTGGACCAAAGTGTTTGGTGTGGAATTGTATGACCATTATCAGGATCCTGAGGAAAACAAGAACCTGGCGTATGATTCCGCCTCCAGCGCCTTGGTGGCTCAACTCAGCAAACAGCTACATGCTGGTTGGAGGGCAGCTAGACCCAAGTAGGAACGACAAGGGGAGGAAGATAGGTCCACCATTGTTGCATCAGAGCACCTGTGTAATAAATCAATTATTCTTTGTTTAACGCCGCAATCGGCAATATTAAATCTATCCAAACAATCCAGTTGATGCACATTCTTATTTATGCAATCTGTGTGAGGGGTAGGTGCAACCCGTAGGGCAGGACATACTTACCCTTTTCGTGAACACCTGATGTTATCACTAATTTTAAGTGATCCATTCATATAATGTCCACAACCATTTTGCCTCTTATGTCCAGCGGAATCCGTTTCTTCGGATAATCGAAACTGGCTATTCTCTGTCGTTGACGCTATATGTATACTGAACAACAAAAGTTCTTGTGACATTGAATAAGATTTAATGCAAAGTTATGTTTTTTACCAAATCTGAAACAATTTCGGTTTGCAACAGATAAATGACTCCTGTAAGTGTTCAAATGGTTTAATTTGCCATACTGACATCAGAAAATGCGTGATTTCATAAAAAAATCGATGAACATGCAAAAATGTCAATTTACAAATCAATAGCGTGTGTGTCCATCTCTGGTTGCGATGCAAGCAACACATCTTCGTCTCATGGATTGGACCAGGCGTCGCACAAAGTCCTGTGGGGTATCTGTCCATATCTGCTGGAGCATGTTTCGAAGTTCCTTGAGTGTCTGTGGAACACGTGGTTCACGTCGGAGGCGCTGATCCATCTCATCCAACATGTGCTCGATTGCTGAGAGATCAGGGTAGCGAGCCGGCCAGGGGATGATATCTCGTGATACGGATGATATGTATTCAGCCCAGCTGTCAAGGCTCATATCCTCTACAATAGGGGCTATACCGCCCAGTAATGTCACAAGTTATACTTCGTCATCTGTACAGTTCTTAATACACATATATTGTTCGAGGTTCAAAGGGTCAAATAGAGGCTCATAGAGGGTGTTCCTTGCATCAGCTAAAGCTGAACAACAGAGCAGTTGGTGCGTTATTATGTCATCGCACTCGTCATCCCACATTAAGCACTGTCCAGGTGTTACTGGTAGTGTTCCTAGCTTCACAAGTGCATGCATATGTCTAGTTGGCATATTGTATAAAAATACACATATTTCACAGTACAAGCTTACTGTGAATTTTATTTAATCTGATTTATTATTGGGTGATTTTGCAGATATGTGTGCCAATGAGCAGTTTTAATGTTCTGATATTATAGTCTGTACGGTTGTTCCACACATGATTGGATGGAAACTGGTTAGTTTTCATAAAGTGAACTATTGTGGTCCATAATTCACACTTCGTTGCTACATTGAGTAGATCATGTGTTACAGACTTGAACACACGTGAAATAGAACACCTTTTTAAGGGCATATCTGTGCTTGCTTCTACACATCCCTCCAAGGAAGATCAGCCACATTTTTTTCAATCACAGATGTCAAAGTCCACAATCCCAGTGTCTGAGTAGTTGCAGCGGTCGGAGATCTTACATGACAATTGTGTACATTAAGTTCAAAGTAGCGCTGGAATTTTCAAATTCATTGTTTTCTGTCTTGGACATATTTGACCACAGTTCACGCGCGCAGAAGGTACATATGGAACTTTTACTCTACGCCTGACCACCCGATCCCTTTTGTCGCCTTTTACGACAAGCATAGTTGCCTTTTAGGGCAAGCATGGGTCGCTGAAGATCTATTCTACCCCGGATCTTCGTTGTATAGAATTCAAATCTAACATTATAACCTACTTGTTGCGAAGAAAATCCAAGTTGGCCGCCCAAATGACTTAATCTTCAAAAAATGTCAAACGTTTCTCCACAATATCAGTATCATTTGTTCATTTTCAATCAAATTTGGCTTTAAAAAAATTCCAAGTAATGCTTTACTGAATGTATGGGCTTTTGGTACTGAAATTCATTCATTTGAAGCAAGATCTGTATTCCGTAAGGCACAATTCAAGACCAGATTCGAATCTCGCCAGCATTTTTGAGAGATTACAATCAAGGCAAAAAGGTCATATTAGGATTTGTTAAAGATATTGGACCAGCACTGAAACGAAGATGTGGTATGCCCACCAACATTCTCAAAAGATAGCATATATCATAATCCTTGCTGTACAACAGCAACATATCCACTTTATAGTACCAGCATTTCACTATTGCAGCAGCGTCCAACAGCTGAAGGGGAGGGAACATCACATGCTGTTCTTTTGACTGAAGAAAGCACACACACAAAGAAAACCATTTTCAAACAGTCCACAGTATATACCAAAGTACCCCCATCTTGTTATAGCAAGATGGGTAATTATGTGCCTTTAAAAGGACCTTTCACCCAAGATGTAGATAGTGTTAACACAATACCTGGCCATGAGTAAAACTGGTCATATCACTCGAAGGAAGTACTGGGAAAACAAGACAAACATATCCTCCAACAACAGGGTATTGAGCATTTGAATCCTGGTCAGATACATGTGCTTTCCTTGGACGAACCACTATACAAAATTGCTTAAACAATCCAGTGGACCTGTCCTGATTTATATTATGAAGTTCCTTATCATGTTTGGTAGATTTGCATATTGAAATAGCTGCTTTCTCAGAAACTGTCCCGAAAGTAGATGGAAAACTGCAATCTGTGCTCCTGGAATTGCCTCAGGCAGATTTGCGTATTCCTATATCATGTGTTCCCCACCTTGCTACAACATCAGGCATATGTGCAATATAAGGAAATAGGAGTGAACACAGAAGATCCTTTCAGAAACTGGTGTTCACCAAAGTAAGCTGCTCAGCCCGTTTCAGTACTGGCCACTTGTTCTTGTACAAGAACTTTGCATATTGTGCCTGGTGAGTACAATTCAAAAAGCAGATTTCCCAAAGTTTGCAGCATCACTTGTCGTATCAATGGCTTGCATTTCACAGATGTGTCCCTCTTACAGCAGAACACGAATATTGTTCCGGTGAGACACAAGACTAAACGGACATTCTCTGGTGTAGCACAAGATCAGACACATGAACAATTCAACAGCCGTATTTGGTGCAGTTGGATTGACTGAAACAGCCGAGAGTTTATAGAAATTCAAAGACATTGTCACTATTTCATGCCTTCACCGGTTCATATGCTTTGGAAACGTGTCAAATATTTCCCGAAGTCACCTATGCTTTCCCATCATCAACAGATATCTCTGACTAAACTATGCAGCTTCTCCTGGAGCGGTTTGTCGTTCTCATTGGTTTATTTGGAAGGCAATGAAAGTCAAAATCTCTGTTCATGAAGAACTCAGACAATTGACAACATTTAAACCCAAAGAGGCAGCCCTATGACAAGCACCAATGCATGTATGGGGACAGATGCTTGAAAAACATCCCACACTACAGAATCTTGTGGTCAGGGGTTGAGTGAGGACATGCAGTAATATATAGATACCCAAGTGGACAACACTTGGTCAGGCACAAAGAAGTGTTAGAAACTAACACTACACCTGTAAGAAGTCTTACAAGCCTTTGTAAACTTTACACTGCGGGTCTTGAGTACAGTGCTATGTGATACTTTGAAGGAAAGTGTTTATTGTAACTGAATTATAGAACCGTAAACACATACATTGAACTAATACTGATAGGAAGTAAGTTGATCTCATTGGTTCATGGCAATAATGTCAATAATACATAGACATACATTCCTGGTTTTAACATATGAATCCATTCCCAGATGATTATGAGTAATTTTGGGGTGTTCTAATGTAATGGATACCGTTCACTTTATTCAGGAAGAAAAGCCTTCATTAAATCGTTTTCTAGAACGCAACATATTAAAACAATTATTAAATAATATGCCGAGCCATAACACGAATAGATCATACACAATACATATAAATTGAAAAAGTTTCATCATATCAAAACTTGTCAACTTATCCTAAGTCCAAAGATATCAAATGATATCTATATCTGCTGTAGAAATAGACAATTTTTGAAAACTAAAATATATTGGAGGCCATCTTGGATTTTTGTCATCACCAGGGGGGACACTGTATACCAGATTTGAATTATATAGAGCATTGTTGCAATTGAACCTGAAAAAGATACTGTGATAAAATGTATGAATAGACCAGATATAATGAGTAGAGATTAAAGTCATTAGAGATTTCAACCATGTTGGCGGCCATCTTGGACTTTCATCACCAGCAGGAGGTGCTGCATACTAGATTGGAACAAGTATTTGTCACAGAGTGACGAAATATCCCCCGCCTGTACACCATAGTACCAAATATGAAGACAATCCAGCGATTAGTTCTTGAGATATTGTGGCAACACCGTTTTCCAACTCCAAAAACAGATTTGTCTGCTGTGACCTTGAAAATGGGGTCAAGGTCACCAAATCTGACAGGTGTATGCGGTGTCTGTATATACACTATAGTTCCAAATATGAAGACAATCCAGTGTTTAGTTCTTGAGATATCGCGGCAACACCGTTTTCCAACTCCAAAAGCAGATTTGCCTGCTGTGACCTTGAAAATGGGATCAAGGTCACCAAAACCGACTGGTGTCTGCGGAGTCTGTATATACACCATAGTTCCAAATATGAAGACAATCCAGTGTTTAGTTCTTGAGATATCGCGGCAACACCGTTTTCCAACTCTAAAAGCAGATTTGTCTGCTGTGACCTTGAAAATGGGATCAAGGTCACCAAAACCGACTGGTGTCTGCGGAGTCTGTATATACACCATAGTTCCAAATATGAAGACAATCCAGTGTTTAGTTCTTGAGATATCGCGGCAACACCGTTTTCCAACTCCAAAAGCAGATATGCCTGCTGTGACCTTGAAAATGGGATCAAGGTCACCAAAACCGACTGGTGTCTGCGGAGTCTGTATATACACCATAGTTCCAAATATGAAGACAATCCAGTGTTTAGTTCTTGAGATATCGCGGCAACAAACAGGTGGGACGTACGGACGGACGTACGGACGTACGTACGGACGGTCGTGAATACTATATCCCCCGCTTCGCGCTT